GTAACTTAATACCAGGCAGGTCGAAAACATCTAAATAATTTGATTAAACCCAGCTTCTGAAAAATTCTCATCACTTGATCTCAACTCCAAAAAGCAAGTCAATAGATTTTTTCTTACTAAAAAATGTATTCTAAAAAAAGCCCCATGTGACTTTGAAAAGTCAAAATTTTCAACTGTCACAGAGGAGGTGATAGGGAGGTAGTGAAGGCAGGTCTTACAGGAGGACTACTCCATTTTTGCAGCCTGTTTAGGGGTGGTCAAAATTCACTCAATTTGCCAAGGAAGAATTCTGAGTGGCCAAGAATTCTTAGCGGGTGAGATTTCCTAGTGGTCGGGAATTCCTAGCGGGTGAGAATTCCTTGTGGAGCAATTCCTAGCGGCCGAAGATTTCCTAGTGGCCGAGAATTCCTAATGGCTGAAGAATTCCTAGCGGCAGAGAATTCCTAGAAGCCGAAGTGCTTTCTCAAAAAAGTGGCCGAGGTCTTTTCTTCAAAGGTCATGGTGCCTTCTCAAAAATATAGTCGGACGCTTCCCTTTTCAAAAGTGGTGGGGTGTGTCCTTGCAAAAGTGACTGGGCATATCCTTGCGAAATTGGCCAAACACTTATCCTCGTAGAACTTGGGCAAGCAAAGTTGGGCCGAGGGAGTTGAAGTTTGGCAGGAGGTATTTCCGCCGAGTTCCCAATATTCGAATATTTTGAAAACTCAAAGATAGTCAAAGGTGGGGCTAAGCCCAACATCCAAATATTTGGAGTTCCCATACCACCCACCTTGGCAGATGGTCAACCAACTCTAGAATTCTAAAAACTCAAAGCGCATGAGGTTCCACCAGATGTCAAGATGAAATCTCACAGGTCCAAGCCCAAGCCATGGATTCACGCCCAAGATTTTCAGAGATCAGTGTGCACGTGATGGAGGCTTGACAAGGAAATATATCAAGGAGGTTGATGCCGATAGAATTTTCCAAAATGAGAGAAAATCAAGCAACCATAATATCTCCATCGATATGATCCACATATTTTGGGGGCTTCAAAAGGAAAGAATTTTAAAATAGTTGACATTTGGCCATTCAATGGCCAGCCCATGGGTTGACGGATGCCCTATATAAACTTCATCAAACGAAGGTAGAAGACACAACATCAGACAGACAAACCTATCTTTCGTCTCGCACTTTTCATTTCATAGACTTAGGATTTTACTTTTCATGCACTTAGTGTAGCGAGTTCTTCCTTTTCTTAGTGTAAGTTTAAATTCTCGTTCAATTTATATTTTCTTGCCATTTAAATTCAAGTTCATTTCAATTGCTTTACTTTTCATTGTTATTGTTCACCCGTTTGGTGTTTACTCCTGAGTTGGAAGGGCAAAGTTCCCCACTGCCTTGGAAACCATTAACTAGTCAACAAGTCAGCTTTCTTTGGTGTATGAGCGTGCCACTGCTAGCAATGAAGATTCTAGCAGACTTCTTCTAGAATAGATAACTTGCGCCCCAAGTTATTGATCTCTAAAACAAACGATTGTGAATTTGGGTGAGATATCTCCCAAGTAAGTTCTTTTCTTGCCTCAGACTGGTGAGGACTTTCATAATTTATCTCAGTATAAAACGGTTGTTCTGGCCAGAATATTTGATAGAAATTGGACTGTTTTAGGCAGAACTGCCCTTTACAAGACTATGAACATACATATCAATGCTAGAAAGATTAAAAGACAATTGGAACTCCATTTCTACCTAGATAGAAGGCTCTGATCGGGGCTGGACTGGATATGTCTGGGCTGGACTGAACTGTCAACAACTTCAACTACTAAGCTTTAGCTGTAAATCGATACCAAAGTTCAATTTTGGCAGAGCTTTAATCTACTTCAAGCTTTGTGAGGCTTTTGAGTTGGCAGAACTGCGGCTTCTTCAGTCTGAAGGGGTAGAAGTGGCTGTTCTTAAGGATTTAGTGAGCTAGGGACTGCACTGTAAGATTTTGTTGAGGTTTTGGGAAAAACTCAAACTTTGCTTGTTTTGGCTTTTGCTGAACCAAATTTGTAACGAGAGAGATCTTCGTTTTAAATGACTTATTTTCTAAGCCTGAACTTTGGGAATTTTGATATAAAGCTGGTTTCTCTTGGAGTTCAAGTGAGCTTTTGGTTGATTTCTTGTTGTTTGTTTGATTGATGAATTTTTGTTGGTCTTTCTTCTTTACCTTGTTCACTCCCTCTTATATTTACAAGAAATGCTTAGGAGTAGGGTTTTTTTCTTAAAATAATGGGCGGCAAGTCTTTTCAAAAAGATCTACAAAGAAATTCAGGAGAGAGGAAAGGACTCTAATTTAATTCTGTCAGATAGGCTTTCATCAATCAGTTCTTAAGATCACTTCTCTGTTTTTTTTTCTTTAAAAGAAAACCTAGTCCCTTTTCCCAATTTAACTGCCCCTTGTGAGATGTCAACTGTGATGGTTAGTTTGATTTCTTCAGTTTGAACAACTCCCTGCTTTCCTGCTTATTTCTTTCTGAGATTGAAGTTTGCTTATCTCTTGGGAGAATCACCTTCTCTGGAATAGAGAAAAAAGAAGAAAATATATATATATATATATGTGTGTATGTAAGAGGGATTTGATCTTCAGAATTTTCAGAGATGTCTCTTCCCAGTTTGCCAGCCACTCACCCTTTCTTTTAAATTCCCAATCAACTCTGTGATAGTTGATTTTGTTGATTTTTCAAAGTCTGAGAAGAAAGGTTTTGTTGATTTTGTTGATTTTGCTGCTGGGCCTTTTTGAGAGATGGTAACAGGTTGGGCCCAATCCAATTTTTCTATTTGATCTGTCTAAAACGTAACTGGCATCCCTTTGGCATTTTTCATTCCTATCACCTTTGAAAAGGACGTGGGCTGGGCTTTTTCTCTCTCCTGATCCGATAATTTGAAGCCTAGTTTTGGTTTCATGGGACTTTGAGAAATGGGCTATGTATGTGTCAAATTAGGCCCAAACAGTTATCGCACTTCAATTATGTTTAATTTCAAGCTCATTTTACTTTTTTCGTTCTTATTGCTCTGATTTCGTTATTTCTTTATTTATCGCTTTGATTCATTTTATCGCACTTTAATTCTCGTCTTTATGTTATTTATCTTTTGCACTTTACTTTACGCATTTGTCTTTAAATTATATTTAAATTTAAGCACCTTTACTTTATGCGCTTGTTCTTCGTTTCATTACGTTTCATCTTCAATCTTCATCTCCACCCACCCCACATCATTTGGTCGCTCACATAAAGCCTTGATCCCGAGGTAGTAAAAGAACTCAGGCCGTGATGAGGTTCCTTGCTTGGCCGAACAATCGTTTGATTAAAGGTAGATCTCGGACGCAACATATCCATCTACTCACATTCCATTCAAGCCCAAATTCAAGGCTTGGTGGTGGCACGCCCAACACTCAAAAAAAAAAAGGACCAAAAGTTCTTTCCGTCGGCCACCTCGGCCGAAAAGAGGGAAACACAACCAAAGAAAGAAGATCAAATCCCCTTTTCATATACAGAGAAGCTCTGCACCAAAGCAGGTTGCCTTTCCAAGAGATAAGAAGGCTACACTTTAAAGAGATAAGTAGGGAGCAAGGAAGTTGTTCATCAGGAATAGCAAACTGACCATTGTGGCAAAATGCGTTTTTTACAAGGAACAAACAGAGAACAAACAGAGAAAAAAAAAAAAAAAAAAAAAAAAAAAAAAGCTGACTGTTGATAGTTTTTCTCTGCCAGAATAACAAGCTTCCCTTTTTTATAACATTGAAAAAAGAAAATATCTTTTTGAAAGATCTACCGCACATTATTAAAAATTAAAAACCCCAATCCAGCATTTCCTATAAATATGAGAGAAGGTGAACATATCAAAGGACAACCAAAAATCAATCAAGACAAAAACTCTCAAAGTCATAACTGACAAACTCAAAAAGATCAACTGATCTTAAAAGCTTTTAGACCCTAAAGCAACCAGACCTCTTTGATCCACAAGAAATAAATCAGCTAGAATTCAAATCTCTAGTTTCAGTTCAATTCAGAGAAACAATTTTACAAAGCGAAATTTCTCTCGTTACAAATTTGGTTCAGCACAAAGCCAAGTCAAGCAGAGTTCGGGTTTTTACAAATATGAAAACCTCAACAAATTTACAGAAAGTCTTGGTCAAGTAGAACAGGCACCATAGCACAGCTCCACTTAGTGACCATCAATCGAGCCACTTTTGTCCTCTTCAGGCTAAAGAGGCCTCAATTCTACCCGTTCAACAAGCCTTCCATGGCTCAAAATAAATTGAAGCTCTGCCAAACTCAAACGTTGGTATCGATTTCCAGCTGAAACTCATTAGTTGAAGGTGTTGGTGATTCAATCCAGCATAGACGCATCCAATCTAGCCCAGTTCAGAGGCAGCTACCCAGGCAAAAATTGAAGTCCAACGTTTTGTTCTCTTTTTCGGAGTTGCCATTTCGCTTTTGAGTCCTGTAATAGGCAGTTCTGCCTAAACAGTTTGTCTTCTTTTTATCTATTCTGGCAAGAACAACCAATTTTGCACTGTAAAAAAATTGTGAAGTCCTCATCAGTTTGAGGCAAGAAAAGAACTTACTTGGGAGATATTCCTCACCCAAATTCACAATTGCTTGTTTAAGAGTCAGTAACTTCGGGCACAAATTATCTATTTTTTAGAAGTCTGCTAAGGTTTTAAATTGTTAGTAGTGGCAGGCTCATGCACAAAAGAAAGTTAACTTGTTTACCACTAATGGTTGTCAAGCTAATAAGAAACTTTACCATACCATCACAGGATTAAAAACAAAATCGGTGAACACATTCCTTATGATTTGTCTTGTTTTCTTCTAGTTATCCAGAGCATTTCCCAAACTTAGGATGTTCATTGGAAATTTGGAATGTCATGACCCTAATCCAATAAGCCATGCAGTTCACTGAAGTTTCCTCAATAGCCATATTACTTGGACACCTTTGGACTAAGAAGCAAAAATCCATAACACGTCTTCCTAGGTGAGATGGCAACTGCTCCTATAAGGCACTTCATCTTCCCCTCTTCAAGGGATGTGGAATTGTTCACCGATCTTACTTGCCAATCTCACGGGTTTTACAATCCACCTTATTGGGGCCCAACGTCCTCGTTTACACACTTCCAGTCAAGGTCTAGCTTTGATACCAAATTGCCACAGCCCACTCCCACTAGCAAGAAATTAGGTCTAGGCCCTCATGGTTTTGTTTTTGGGCCTAAGCTTATGTTATATTGCCCAAAACGCATCTTACTAGGTGAGATGACAACTACTCTTATAAGGCATTTCACTTTTCCATCCCCAAACGATGTGGGATTATTCACTGATCTTGCTTCCTAAGCTCACGGGTCTTACGTTTTCCAACTTAATGACTAAGTGTTCTACTCATCCACCACAAAACTTCACAATACCTCTGGGGCAAGGTGTGAATGAGGAAGTTTTGTGGAGGACATTTGGTTTCGGATATTCCAACCCAAGAAACAATGATTCAAGAAAAGTTTGTTCTCACACAAAATGTTTCCTTTGCATAATGTTTGGCTTAGTGATTTACCCAATCTTGTTGATGAAAAACATGAATCATCCCATTAATGTAGATGAGTTGGTCACTACTGCACTTTGAAGATGTTATTGCTAGTTTTCACTCATTTTTTTGGGGTCTTTTATATTATCAACTGTTGATTGTTCTTTTCTTGATTGTTTTAGATCTTCAATTCTCACGTTGTATGTGTGTTGTTTGCTTCTCTAGTAATCTCTACTTTGATTCTTAAGGTGAGTTTGATGGCTTAGATTTAACAACATATTTGAACTTTCTCTAATGAATAAATTTTTATTACAAGGGGAGATTCTTTTCCTCAACTTGCATTCCAAGTACACATATCATATTCAACAATGCTACGATGCACCAACTTTCTTTACAAACTTATTGATACGAATAAATGAATAATATGGTAATTTAAGTAATGGTGGATCCATGAATTTTTATAGTGGTAGGCTAAATATTTTTTCATTTATAAAGGAGATATATTATAAGCCCCCTTTTTTTTTCTCTTGAAACAAAAATGTAAATAAAATTTTATAAATCAAACAAGGCCACATTACGAACAAATATAACATAAAGAAGTACAAAATATAACTAAATACTAAATCAAACAAATTTTCCAACATCAAAAAAACATGTTCGATTGCAAAAAACTTAAAAGAGCTTACCTAGTGAAGTGGAACCCTTCTCTCTTTGAGTGTATCAAAATATTTGATTATATATGCTAATTAATAACTCAAATTACAAAAATAAAATATAAATATATCAACAATCTCCAAAAGTTTTCACCCAAACCCTAAATTGTAAAAACTTAACAATAACAATTAGAATTGGAAATTGAATATAAAAAACAAAGAAAAACTTACCAAGATTAAAGAACCCACTGAAGATAGGTTGGTACAGTTTTTTAGAGGAGGAGAGCTATTTCCTCTAGGCTTTCAAGGTTCAAATATGACGTTTTGGGTGGCTAGAAGAAATATTTTGATGTTTGCTCTCTATGGGTGTAACCCAATATCAGTACGATTATAATAGCTCAAGTTGTTGGAGCCTTAGCGTGAGTCTTGCTTCTAATCAAATTTATATCGGTTTGGATTGATGTTTATTATTTGCTATATGCTTCAGGAGTGGGCTACTATTTATTGGAGTAGGAATAAAGCTTATAAAATTGGCTTTTATCACAAAACATCTCTGAGGTTTGCGAAACTATCAGATTGCGTCCTTTTTGTTTTGTTTTTTGTCATTTGTGGTCCTCAAAGTGAACATGCATGCTCACAAGTAGTCCTTACCGTCGTCAGATTCCATCCAAAAATCTTTTAGATTGATGATGTGGCACACATGTGTGCCTCATATATCCAATGATATGACGCCACATGGATTAAATAAAAAAAGGCTAAATTGTTGGAATGGTCCCTAGACTAAGACCAAACTTTACTTTTCGTCCATCATATTGCTAAATTGTAACGGTGGTACTTTAATTATGCCTCCACTTTCACAAATCGTCCTTTCCGTCATCTCAATCAACTTTTCCGTTAAAAATGATGACATGGCATGGATAAGCCCTACTTGGCATGGGCAAAAATATCTTTTCACAAAAAATTAAAAAACAAAATCTCATATATATATATATATATATCTCTCTCTCTCTCTTCTTCCCCCTACACCCAGATTTCTTCTCCCTAGCCCCGATTTCTTCCCCACCCCACCAATTTCCTTTTTAAATTATGGTTATTATTGTGGCTCTGCGAGGAGGAGGATGTTTGATAAAGGTCAAGTAGAGCTCATTTGCCATTAATGGCTCTTGGTGTTTTTTGATGGAGGCTTGCTTATTCTAGATGATTTGAAAATGGATGGAGGCAACAAAAGCACCTTCTACTGTTAGGCACTTGTGTTTTATATCTCTCTTCAATTTGATTGATATTTTATATCCTCTAGGATTTGAAAATGGATGAAGGCAACATTATTTTATGGGGAATGCGTGGTGCAAGCCTCCATCGAAACAAAAAGAATTTAAATAAAATAATAAATTAGGCCCACATAATTTCAGGAAATTGGAACTGTCCTCACTTGCATTCTGCTACTGGACATTGCGGGTGTCCACTCTACCACTAATGTTCTACTTCCCCTCTTCGTAGTCTCTATCATCAATTGGTAGCTCGTATCGACAAAGAGGGCAAGTATGAGGGAGAAGAAATTGGTAGGGGGAGAGAGAGAGAGAGTTTTTTTTTGTTTTTAAAAAAATAACATTTTAATCAATTTAAAATTAATGAAAAGACAAATATGCCCTCATTTTTAACGGAAAGTTGACTGAGATGACGGAAATGACTATTTCTAAAAATGGAGGCATAATTAAAGTACCACCGTAACAATTTAGTAATATGAGGGACAGAAAGTAAAGTTTGGTCTTAGTCTAAGGACAATTGCTACAATTTTGCAACAAAAAAAAATTTAAAAATTAAAAACTATATAATAATAAAACTGCAACTTCTCTCCTCTCTTTCCTCTCTCCTATCTCCTATCTCCTCTCCCCATCCCAACCCACCCCTACCTCTCAGCCTCCACTCTTCGGCCCATCCCCCACCATCACAACAATCTCTCTTTTTGTCTTTCTGTCTGTCTATCTCTGTCTCTGTCTGTCTCTCTCTCTCTCTCTCTCTGTTTGTCTCTCTCTCTCTAGTCTAACAAAGTAGAACGACATATCATATGCCCAATCCTAAGACCTAACAACGAATATCCCTCGTATACTTTTTTTGTCGTCCATCACACCCATAAAGACCACGTGATTCCACGACTCAACGACACGTTCTCAAAACAAACACCACATCAGCAATATAGATGATCAAACACTCAGTAGACCCCACACAACATTAAGGCCTAGTTTGAAATTACTGTCACTTTTAAAAAAAAGTTGCTTATGTTGTGCTTTTGAAAATAATTAGCTGTAAAGTAAAGCAACTCCATATTTGGTAAACAATATTTTAAAAGTATTGTTAATGCAAAAAGCAGTGTCAAAACAATTTGGTAAATTTTAATATAAAATTGTTATAATTGTGAATAATGACTAAAATAGACATGATGATGATGTTGAAAGTGTTATGTGCTAATCATGTGGTGGTAGTGGTCGTGCTGGTGGAGTGGAGGTTGTGGTGAAAGAGATGGAGGTGAAGGTGGTGGTGGTGATGAATGTGGAGTTGGTGATTGTGGTTGTGGTAGTGGTGGTGGTGGGGATGGTGGTTGTGGAGGTGACGGTGGCTGCGTGGTGGTGGTGGTGGTGTTGGTTGTGGAAGTAGTGGTGGATGTGGAGGTGGTGGTTGTGGTGGCGGAGGATGAGGAGGAGGTGGATGTGGTGGTGGTGGTGGCAGTGGTTGTGGAGGTGGTGAATGTGGTGGTGGAGTTGGATGTGGAATGGGAACTAAAAAATTCATTACATGCTCATTTCTACTTCTTTCGAAAGCAGCTTTGAAAAGCAAGCCATAGTCTACTTTTAAAAGCTGCTATCAAAATGACACTACTTTTAAAATAATCGGGATATTTTATTTTACAAATTTATAAATAAACCCAATCATAGACATGTATTTATAAAAAAACCCAAGCACTATTTAAAGATAGAAACACACCCAAAATCAACCCCAAAGTCAACTTTTTGGGTGTGTTTATAAATAGGTTTTGAGTGTGTGTAATGATGGGTTTTGGGTGTGTTTATATGTTTAAATAGTACTTGGGTTTTTTTATAATTTCAGCCCTCATTTTGGGTGTTTTAGTAAAACTCCCATCTTATTTTTAAAACAGCTTAACTTTAAAGAAAAAAAAAAAAAAAAAAAAAAAAAAAAAAAAAAAAAAATCAACAAAAAGAGCCTAAACCCAATCGGCCATCGAAACTACCTCCATAGGCCCCACTTCGCCCCGCTTATCTTATCCAAAGTTTGATTATACCAAATTCAACGTCCTCCTGCTATACACAGTAGACATTCGTATAAAATCGCCGTCACAAAAAAAGGGAAAACAAAAACAAAAGCAATTCCAAACACTTCAAAATACGATGATGTGATTTCCTCGGCTAAGTTTGACACGTTCTCTTCCTTGAATTCCCCCGGGACACCGACTTCCATCTACACGCGCCACCGCTGGCCCACCGTCATTTTTTTCTGTCGTGCTCATATCTCTGTCGATTTACGACCGTCAGATCGATCCAATGGTGTGTGGTTGGGGTCTATGAATTTTGGTTTCGCCTGTGATGAGAACGATAAGATGGGCGGAGTGACCTCTTCGATTGCAGCCAAGTTCGCGTTTTTCCCGCCGAATCCGCCGTCGTACAGAGTCGTCCCCGACGAGTCGTGTGGAGGGGTACTGTACATTCCGGAGGTGCCTAGAAGGGACGACGTGGATGTGATCAAGCTCAGGACTCGCCGAGGGAATGAAATCGTGGCCGTACACGTCAAGCACCCCAAGGCCTCGGCTACTATGCTCTACTCCCATGGAAATGCTGCTGATTTGGGCCAGATGTTCGAGCTCTTCGTCGAATTGAGTGCTCGCCTTCGGGTTAATTTGATGGGGTAAGTAAGTGCTTTGTTTTTTTTATTGTTGAAGTTTTTAATGGTGGATTTGGCTTCTGGGATTTTGAATTTGAGTCTATATTTGAATGCTTTCATTTGGTTTGGCAATAATTCTTGTGGATTGAAGTTTTTTGAACATTGGGTGTTAGTTAATTTATAGGTGGTGTTGGAGGAACCTGTTATTCTGTATAAATTCGAAACTTTTAGAGTTATTAATTGTGAAGATATATTAAGAAGCAAATTCATTAAGAAACTGGTTGTCTCAGTTGTTTCCTTATACAAATATTTCTCAGAAACGCGAAATTGCAAATCAACACCAAACTAAAGAAAATCAACAAATTTACTAAACAAATGTATATATTTTCCTATACACGAAACAAAGACAGCTTAATTCTTCACTGAAATCGTGCCAGCTAGTTGAAAGTCAATCCTATATACCATATCTTTCTTTCTAATTCCATGACATCTTTCAGTTTTCCGTAGATATTTTACTATTTATAAAATGAGCAGAGCTTAATTTTTTCAATGACCATCAAACTCATGTTGCTTTTTGATTGATTCTTTGATCATTTGCCCGTATAAAAGTTACCTTTTCTTGTAAGAAAACTCTGTAAACATAATTGTAATGGTGGACTCAGAATCTTATCCCCAAGTCTAACACCTTATATCATAGTTATGTTTCTCTTTTGTGTGGAAAAGCTAGAATAGATGTTTTTGGCTGTTGCGTGCAGTCTGTACCATGCGTGTAGCTGTACCATGCCTACCATCACAAATGGTGCACACTCATGTGCAAGAGTAACATTTATGCCAAATTATGTGGTAGTGAATAGTGGTTTTTAGAGGAGAGTTTATAAGTATTGTGCTATTGTGCATGCATGTCTATGTGCAGTTTGCAGACAATGAAGGAAATTGTTGATGATGATGCACACTGTTTTCTATAAAATTTATCTATCTAAACATCTGGAGCAAAAACAAAGAAGAATTTCATATTCACCACTAAAATGCTCAAATATCTGAATGGAAACATAATGTTAATTTGTAATTTTGTATGCATGTGTTTTCATTATATGTTGACGTCACATCTTTGGGCTGTGGCATAATATCTCTTTGTTTGCATCTCTGATTACATGTATTTAGTTAACCATTGCCCATGTAGCATTTATTGCGCATGATATCTGACTCACTGTATGTCAATTCACTGCAATTAATTTCAACAGTCTGGCCAAGCAGTTGAGCATCGTGATATTATATACATTGCTGTATAATAATGAACATATATTATTTCTCCCCTTCTCTAATGTGGATGGCAAAGTACATTATAGTTGTGGATGTTTGCCATCCACCATTGGATCAAATGAAGGTAGTAGATTTAATAATCCACAACCTTGTAACTACCACCCAGGACCCAAAACAGTGACAAACCAAAAGAAACTAAACTTTATTGAAAGAAAGAAAACCACTCCGGTGAAGAAAAGTTTTCTCCACAACCCCATCACAGTAAAGGATGCTTGTAACTTATACATACTTTGTGCCAGCAGTTGGATTTAGTAAAAATCCTCCTCTCTTGATGGAGTAATTGACGAATCTTGTTTTTCAGATCTAGCTGTCTGTGAAAATTGGAAGCATCGTTATGCAGTTTAAAAGACCTTAGCTAGTTTTCTAGCTGAGGAAGCGGTTTGGAATTTCCAAATGTCAACTGAATTGTGATTTTTTTGCAAATTTGCAATAAATCCAGGATTGGTGGTTGGTCCTCACTTACTGATAACTCTGAATACAAGTGTGGAGCCAGTTTTGAAACTCATAAGTGGAACCCAAAATTTTGAAACTTATAGATTGCTGTTAGAAAGGCTCTGTCTACTATCCTTTAAGAATCCTTTGTCTGCTGGGAGATGTTTATTAGTTGGTAGAGAAAAGTCAGAGAGTATAGTATTGTCATATCAGAAGAGTTCAGATATGGTGTACAGGTTTAAAATAGATGTAATAGGTAGACATAGTAGATATGTAATGAGTAGACACAGATTGTTATGAGGTTATGAAAATCGGTTATGATATCTTCTCTACTATAGGATCTTATTTTTGGATGTTGATGCCCTTGTATCCATCAAGGGCGAGGAACACCTGGCCAATCTCATTGAGGAATACGATATATCCTCCTTCCTCATCTTACAGTTCTTCAGGCTCTAGTCCCAGATTTCCCATGCCGTTGCCACACTAATGACTCCATCAAATCTCGTCTCCAGTGTTCCTAGCATGGGGGAAGAGAAAATTTACTCAGAGGTTGTGCTGCCATATTTTTTTATTTTATTTTAAACAAAAGATGCTGTTTGGGCCTGGCTGGGTAAATACAGGTTGTAGATTAAAATCTGCACCCTTCATTTGATCAAATGGCAGATAGCAAAGATTGGCAACTTATTTGCACTTTGCCATCCGTATTAGTGAAAGGCTCTACATTGTTTGAGACTGTCATTCCATATATCAATTGTGTTGCATGCATGGATAAGTTTTGAGACAGATTTGGTAATAGAAAGATTGAGGTGTTTCTGGTGAGAGTTAGGTTTCTGTATGTGGTTTTCTAGCCACAATATAGAGGTTTGCATTAATTGTTTAGACTTGGCCACTGTCTTGGATAAACAAAAAAGATAGTAATTAATCATCTTAAGTGGAAGTTCATAATAAATAGAGTAACTAATCTTACTGTTGATCGCTATTGACAAATTTGATCGGGTCGCTATTGATCTTACAGTCCTGTAGTTGAAATGGGAAGAGGAAGATATAGCTACATTGAGTTGATTTTTTCCTCAGTAACATGCACGCAATATGCACCAACAATCCCAAACGACTGAAACATGCAATATGCATTCTGTTGTAGTATGTACTATGTAGTTCGCAAGCTGTCTATCTGGTTCAATTGGGTTTAGACTTTATTCAAAATTCAAATGCTAGCATGATGAAAAAGGTTCTTGTTTGGTTTCTTTTACTTCCACAGACACATCAAAATACTGATAGGATGTTTCTGTTAAAAATGAAACAGGACTATGTTCAGCTCCATCTCTGAGATTTGAGGCCCTGTGCAGGGATAAATAATGAGTCCTTTTAACACTCACACAAAGAAAACGCATGTGAAACTGAAGCAATCAACTGAAATTATGAAATCAAAATAGCTAGAGGGAGAAAGATTCAGAATTTTTACCTTTAATTTTTGGAAGATACTCATATTGCTAAACAAACAGGTGATACAATGTACATATCCACTAAACACTGGAGCTAAAACCAAATGACAAGACATATAGAAGCTAAAGTGAAATTAGAAATAGAAGCTAAAGCGAAATTAAAAACAGAAACTAGTGAAACACTTGATATCCAGAGGCTTGTGGTGGAAACTTGAAGCGCTGAAGAAGAGTTGCCTTTGATAGTGTAGCGGGCAAGTCCTTCTTTTGTCACAAAGATTAAAGATCTTCCAGTTTGAAATCCACTCTATGAAAGAAGATTAAGAATATCAATCTTAGAATGACTCCATAATTTTATCAAACAGAGCAAACAGGACAAGATGTTCAATTTCTTATAAAACATATCATGTGCGTGCAGTGGCATTGAGATTATAGAACTCAAATACAAGATTTCTTTCATAATTATAGCAACCAACAAGCATTCTCACAAGCTTTTGATATATCCCCAAAGAACACTGAGCACATGCTAGAGACTTCTGCTCACCTGGGGGCTCTTATTAATGTTGGGGACCTGTGCAGTCGTACTGGCGGCCCTGATTAATGTTTCATTTTTGTAGGAATACCTCTTTCTTGAACTAATTATAATATGTTTCTATTATTGGATTAACTTAATAGTGTTGTTTTGATGGATTTTGCAGCTATGATTACTCTGGCTATGGACAGTCAACTGGGAAGGTGAGATGCCTAGGCCCAACGGTGCTTTCATAAGATGGCTAGCTTCTTATGATTAGTTATGGTTTGTCCAACTCCATATGGTGCAGTGCATAATATCAGCTGTCCCTTTGTGTGTGCATTGTTTTTTTCTTTTTGGTGAGGGGGTGATATCATTGTATTTTTTTTTCTTGTTAAAAATATTAAGCTGCTCCTCAGGCTGTCAAAGAAATTACTATACTTTTATTTGGATGGGAACTTTTAATTGCGGATTGACATGTGAAGGAATACTTTTGGGGACATCTTTTCTTCTTAGTCATGTACTGGGGAATTTTAAATTTTAAATTGAAACAATAAATTTTGTTGAAATCTTATTTCTGGGCACATAATGGTAGAGAATGCGAGTATAGATGCATTATTTGAGGGCTGATTTTAGAAAATTAAGGTTGGAGTTTCTTTAGCATGTCAAAATCATTGTGTTTGGTTGTTGATTTTCGAGGAGAAAAATGGACTGTTGCTCGATGCATCCGCATATATTTTTGATACCTTTTTGCTATAGACAATATTACAAGGGATGCACAAAATGAGGATTTGATTACTCAATCATTGATGTCAATTGCTTGCCGGATTAATTTGTTTGAATTATTCAATGCATCAATGCATAAATTTAATAGCTGTGATAATGTAACAGTAACCCTTTCCTCTTGAAACAGGCAACTGAATATAATACATATGCCGACATTGATGCAGCTTATAAATGCCTCAAGGAGAAATATGGGGTCAAAGATGAGCAACTAATATTATATGGTCAGTCTGTTGGTAGTGGCCCAACTGTTGATCTTGCTTCACGTTTACCAACCTTGAGAGGTGTGGTGTTACACAGTCCTATTTTGTCAGGGCTGAGGGTGTTGTACCCTGTCAAGCGGACGTACTGGTTTGATATTTACAAGGTAGTTTCGTACCAGTGATTCCGCACTGCCTGCTTCTTTCATCCTGCAAATGGGCTTATATTGCTTTTTATGTTTTTCCAGAATATCGACAAAATGGCATTGGTGAACTGTCCTGTCCTGGTTATACATGTAAGTGTATATCCTCTCCCTCAGTTTTCTGCACACACATCTGAAGGCAGATAGAGTTCGAAACATAACCACAGGAATTTCTTTAGCATGATTTAGAACTTCAGATATATTGGCATCAAAAAACTCCTTAATTGAATTTCACCATATTACATAGTATGTGGACTATAACTATTGATCAAATAAGTTCATCACAGATTAAGTTCTTCCATTGAATTGTAAGGAATTTTAAGTGTCAAATCTGACCCATGATCACATCCTAAGTTGAAACACACATCTGCTTATAACTTCAAAGTTTCAAATCCAACTGGGCATGGGTAAGAATTGATAAAAGTGTGAGTCATGCAGCATCTATTCACGAGTGAGATAAGTTAGCATAGTTTAGGAAAAAAACCTTTTCAGGAGTGGTGTGAGGATTGCATTTTATGTGAGATTCTAATTATGATCACCTGGTTGGGATCAGGAGAGTGTAGCCACCAGGTCACATTTCCTTTCCATCTCCTCTCATACTAGAATTTGCCACATGTTTTGTGGAAAGTAGTGATAAACTAAAATGTTACTTGTCCAGGGGACAGCAGATGAAGTTGTAGATTCGTCCCATGGGAAGCAACTTTGGGTGCTTTGCAAGGAAAAGTATGAACCTTTATGGCTTAGTGGAGGTGGACATTGCAATCTTGAGCTTTACCCAGAATTCATTAAACATCTAAAGAAATTTGTACATAGCCTTGGCAAGTCAAAATCAGCCACAAATGGTTCTAAAACAAGTACAGTAGATTCTGACAAATGCAAACAACCTGAAACCGGCACTTCAGATTCATCCGAATTGGGTTCTGATCTTCCGGAAGTTTCTAGAAACAGCTTAGATAGTCGACTTGAGAAGTCTAAAAAGCCAAACAAGCCTGAAAAGTCTCGGATGAGCACTGACCGAGCTGACACCTTTAAGAGAAAGAGTTTAGTGTGGTGATTTGTTCTTTACATGGAGAGCAGTTGAAATAAGTTATGTGCTGATATCCACTTATTTAATGATGTATCAACTCCAAATAGGATGAATTTGATTTGGGTGTGTCTTGTTCACATAAATTTTTAATTTTAATTTGTATGTATATTCTGCAACTGTGGGAAATCCTGCTTTGTATTTCTTATGCAAAATCAGCCTCATCTAAACACCAGGTGTCTTCACTTTCAGCGGTCCTTCCACTTTGGTATTTCTATTAGAAAAGAAATTGCCAAGTAACATCAAATAAAAAATAAAAAATTGCTGACATATTGGTTATGACCAAATCAAGCTGCTTCATTAAAATAGTTGGTGCCCGTATCATTTCTGATCATTATTAGTTAACAAAAAATCTTAAAACCGGGTCGCTTTGATATCTCTAATGATATATGGGGACAGATTGTGTTCCAATAATTCTGTCTTAAATACTAATCTGTTACCAGATTGCTTTGATCACAAGGAAAAGTCTTCTATCCATATTTTTATTAAAATCAAAGGCCAACAATTGAAAACTTGGCACAACAAATTAATAACAAATACTTGAGGAACTCCTAGCTAGTTGCAAACCTGTGAATTCCCAGTTTGTTCATTAACTTGGCTTTCTCGTCTCTCACTCTGAACTTTCCTCTAAAAGAAGATGCAAATTCTTCTATTTCAATCTTCAAACCTCCTCCTTTTGACCATCAGTTTCTTCATTTCGATCAACATACAGTTTTGTCTATGTGGAGAAGATCCACAATATGCAAACTGCAGAAAAGCTATTAACTGTGGTGGCATCGAAGACATCTGGTACCCCTTCTGGGGAGTCAACAGAGCAAGTTACTGTGGTAAACCTGGGTTTGAAGTTCAATGCCTAGACAATGTCCCGGTGATCAACATGGTGAATAGCAGCTTCCGAATACTCGAAATGAACCCGAAAATTCCTCGTACTGTTAAGGTTGCAAGGCAGGATTATTGGAGCACAATCTGTCCCCAGAGTACTTTAGTCAACACCAGCATCAACGTCTCTCTGTTTAATTATGCTTCTGGGCTTGCAAACCTGACCTTTTACTACGGATGCAATACAAGTACACCATCTATTAATTCACAGGTTTGCACAATAAACGGCAGTGATGTCAGTGTGGCCTTTCATCAAACAGGTGATGAGCATCCAGTTGCTAACGATACCTGCAAAACTGAGGTGCTTGTTCCAGTTTTTAAAACAGCTGCTCTAGCTCTTGAGAACAATCAAAAAAGCGTCAAAGATGCGGTGGATGAGGGCTTTGAATTGGGGTTGCAGATTGATAATGACCAATGTAACTATTGTGAGGGATCAGGAGGAACATGTGGGTATAATAATAAAACTACAACTCATGGTGGATTTGTTTGTTTTTGCAAAGATCAGCCCTATGCAATCACATGTGCAGTAAAATCAGGTATGTGTGTATCTCTTGTTTGATTTGGAAGATGCTAAGAACTTTTAAATCAGTTTAATACTAGAAATTTTTTTCCCTTGCTACTTAGGTCTTAGGTCATTGTTTTAGCTCATACTTGTGTGAGAGAGCTTGAGGGTTAGACTTTGCATTTACAAATGGTGCATTTTGTTTAATTTAAATTATTTGAACAATCGGTTAGACTTGTTGCAACATCATTTAGCCTAATTTTTAAATTGAAATGGTGAAATTTAAAATTATTAAAACTGTAATTATTAAGATTAGACTAGTTGATGTGGCAACAAATCTAACCATTAGATTGTTGTAATGGTTTAGATCAAACGGGATGTACGTAAATACACTATTTGTATATGTAGAGATGGGGAATCTACTAGGGACATAGTAAATTCAAGCTTTTTACCACCTTTAAAGATTGCTAATACTGATGTATGTAAGGGACTTATAGCTTAAGTGGTTAAAAGTAGTTATCTTGCATCGATGTCGCCAATGCTGGAGTTCATTTTGATATTAAAAGAAAGCTCTGTGAACAACATATTTGATATTAAAAGAAAGCTCTGTGAACAACATACTAAATCGAAAGCTTGACAATCCTATCAGGGTCTTATTAATCCACATGATATGCATTTATAACTGAATGATTAAAAATGTTAATTCCAATTTAGTTGTACAAGTCAACATATGCTTTCAAATTAATATTGAAGACCAATAAAACAATTAATAAGTAAAGTCAAATGTCTGACCATTGATGGCCTATTTAATTATTTTAATTATTTCGATCCATCTCTTTGGTCCCTCAGTTTAGTTTATGAATTTTCTAGTCCTCAATAACATTTATTTTGGTCTTTACATCACACCTTCCCTTTTATTTCTATGATTTCATCCCAATTGACGAATTTTAAGTCCCTTTAGATTTGAACTTATCAAACATAAGATTCAGAGCTTCCATTCCAGATTTGTCACATGGTTGACTTTTAATTGATGCCAACTAATGGGTCGCATGCATAATAATACCATAGTTTGTAAGCAATGTTGTAACATATATATAGTCTCTCATCATTAATGATTATTTGTACATATTTGTGGCAGATATTCAGCGCAAGGGGGCAATAGGTATGACGAAAGCTTCAAGAAAGGGATATAATTCAAATACCGGATCGTCTAGTTTTCAAAACTTCATTCGTAAATTGTTCTTACGACAAAATTAGCCAAATCAAATATTATTGAGACATCTAAAAGTCATAAACGAGCACAATAATAATCAAATGGTTAAATGATTTTCGATCCAATTGATTTTCTGCAAGAACAATATTTGGCTAATCTTTTGTAAAACATCTACAAATGAAGTTTTGAAAAATAACATAGACTTCAATTTTCTTGAAAAAGAAATACATATATATATAACATAGACTTCAAGTTTCTTCCTTTTGAAAATTAATGAACTGCCTAATTAACTTGCACACTGTTTGGATACAGCCTTTTGGACAGGTGTTGGTATAACCATCGGCGTCATTTGCATCATATTCATATCAAGGAAAAGGAAGTTCTTCTTGAAGAGGTACTTCAAAACGGAGCACAGGTATGAGCTTGATATCGAACAAGTTATACAGAATTATGGCTCGTTTACCCCAAAGCGGTACAGTTATGCAGATGTAAAGAAACTCACAAACTCATTCAAAGATAAAATTGGCAAAGGAGGATATGGCACTGTATACAAAGGAACCCTACCTGATGGCCATCTTGTGGCAGTCAAAGTCCTAAACGAGCCAAAGGGTAATGGAGAAGACTTTATTAATGAAGTTGCAAGCATTAGTAGAACTTCCCATGTCAACATAGTCAAGCTTTCAGGATTCTGTTATGAGAGGCATAAAAGAGCTTTGATCTATGAGTTCATGCCTAATGGATCCTTAGACAAGTTCATACAAAAGCAAGGATCTTCGAACACAAATTTTCCTCGTTTAGAGTGGAAAATGTTATTCGAAATTTCAGTAGGCGTCGCGCGAGGGCTGGAATACTTACATCGTGGTTGCAACACAAGAATTTTGCATTTTGACATAAAGCCACAGAACATTCTTCTAGACAAAGATTTCTGGCCGAAAATCTCAGATTTCGGCCTTGCCAAATTATGCAAGACGGAGGAGAGTATTGTGTCCATGTTGGGAGCAAGAGGAACAGCAGGATACATGGCGCCAGAAGTATTTAGTCGAAACTTCGGAGGAATATCTCCTAAATCTGATGTTTACAGCTACGGGATGTTGGTTCTTGAAATGGTTGGAGCAAGAAAGAATTTGGATTACGGAGGGTCTCATACCAGTGAACTGTTTCCACATAATGTTTATAAAGATCTAGAGCTAGAGAAGGATGAAATTATCTTGGAGGGCATATCAGAAGTGGGAAAAGAAGTAGCAAGAAAATTGATATTGATAAGTTTGTGGTGCATTCAAACAATTCCATCTGATCGGCCATCAATGAGCAAAGTAGTAGAGATGCTGGAAGGGCCCCTTCATTCTTTGCAAATTGCACCGAAGCCTTTCTTATTTTCTAGTCCAATATCTGGTGGAGACTCATCCCAACCATCTGTGAGAAGTTAAGGAAGTTGGCTTTATTAGCACTTTCGTTTTTCTATTCTTTTGTTGGTTCATTTTTCTTTTTCTATTGTATGTGCGTTACCCTTCGCTGAGCAAAATAATTTGATGTATCAACAGTGTAAGCTAAGAATACAAGAAAGACAGAAGTACAAACCTTGGCCACTATGGAAAAATATTGATAGAAATTTTTTCTAATTACAATAAGAAATATACCTTGTTTTAACAAGAAAAAAGTGATCCGTTCTTTTGTTATTCATCAGATTACAATTACATATACAACCCAGCAAAGTTGGAGCACATACATACATATAACTAATCGGCTAGACTTAGGCCAGTCCTTCGACTTTTCAAAGTTTGAGTGTCCAGGACTTTGAATGGAAGGCTGATAGAGTGGCAAGCCAGAAGGCTGCTGGAGTGGCAATGCTGCTTTACAGTGGCTCAATTGACTGCATTCAGTCAGGCCCTTGCCTTTGCTTCACGAAAAGGTGTTGATCACCATCGCTAGCTTAAGAGATTAGGGGACTTGTTAATAAGTGCAGATTGTGATTTGAGACAGATTAGGAGTGTGAGGATTCCACTGGAGCATCTCAACAAGAAAGGTGTAGATTTGATGAACTTCCTGAAGAAATAACTGGAATCCTAGAGGCCGTTGGAAGTCTCTCTCTTTCCCAAGTGTGAATCTTCAATGTTTGCACCTAGATAATCTGTATCATTTAGATGACAAATGAAACAACAGAACATGCATAGGAAAGAAAATTCAGATATTTACACTACTACAAAAATCGAAATAGACGACGGGAAACCACCGTCGTGTAAAAGGTTTTCCAACCGTCGTGAAATCGACTGCCGTCTATTTGGGTTTCAAACTACGACGGCTTTTCACCGTCGTTGTTTATTTGTAAAGACGACGGTTTTTAAAGAAAATCGTCGTTGTTTAGAGGTAAAGATCGTTAATTATAGGAGGAAAGACGACTATTTTTAATAAAACCATCGTGTATTGTATGTAAAGATGACGGTTTTTTATGAAAACCGTCGTGGATTGTTTATAAAGAAGATGGTTTTTTTTTTATAAAAAAACCGTCATATTTACATACAATAGACGACCCTTTATAAAAGAAAAAGGTCATCTTTACCTATAATATACGACACTTTTTTATAAAAACCGTCGTTAATTATCTGTAAAGACCATGATTTATTATAAAAACCGTCGTTAATTATCTGTAAATACCATGATTTATTATAAAAATCATAGTTAATTATCTGTAAAGACCATGATTTATTATAAAAACCGTCGTCTAATAAGTTTCCAAACTACTACATTTTAGTTCTTTTTGATTTCCTATGATGCTATACAACGATTTTAACTAGAAAACCAACCATAATGCTTTATTAATGAACATATACACTCAAAAATAGTTTCTTTCATAAAACTTGAAGATTCAATAGTTATTACAACAAACATAATTAACAATCTTTATTCTACAACAAACATAATTCCTAACAAGACCTACGTACTCCTAATCCAAGCATCCTCATCCAAACATACAAATGATGCACAACTGAAGTCTCCTCCATCATCCTTGTAAATAAATCAAAATGACAAAGAGAGAAAAAAAGTTAAGATTATAAACATAAAAAATTAGGTGGAAGAGAAATTTTACCATTGGTCCATATTTCCATAGAAAACTTGTAAAATAAGCATAAAAAAGACCATCGAGAACTTGCAAAAGGAAAAATATATAAATAAAATGATGGTGAAAAGAGAAGGTAACAAATTTTCAACAACAAAAAAACATACGATTCACATAGAAAACCTGCAAAAGAAAAAGTTATAAATCTGCAAGCTTCCTCATCATCTCCTGATAACCAAATCAGAAAATCTAAAAAGAAACCAGAAATATAAAAAAAAATATGTAAACAAACCAAACAAATCAAGAGAGACAAAATCTGAAATTAGGGAGACAAAGAACATACCAGAAACGCAAAGAGACTAATCCAGAATTCACTAGCAAGATATAGAAGGGTATTTTAGAGAGTGCAAGAGGGTTTCAAGGAGGGAGAGATAAAGTTTTTAGAGACGGGGGAAAATCTGAAAATTTGTCGAGCGCAAATTCACTTAAGTAGCCTTTTTTTAGCGTGTTTTAAAAGACGACGCTTGTTAATGAGAGATAAGGTTTTCAAAGACGGATGAAAATTTGAAAATTTGTTGAGCGCGAATTCACTTAAGCGGCCATTTTTTAGCGTGTTTTAAAAGACGACGCTTTTTAAAAAAAGATCGTCATCTTTACATAAAATAGACGACCCTTTTAAAAAAAACCGTCATCTTTACATAAAATAGACGACCCTTTTTTAAAAAAACCGTCGTCTTTACTGCATAAAAACAGTGGAAGCAGAAGTGACGTAGCGGGAATTTGTAGTTTTGTCGTCCGAGCTCTGATTGAGATCCATGATACCTTTCTGAAAAGGGAATGAAGCCAGAAATCAGACTCAGCGCTTTGCGCTGATATATGGTGGTTTTTGGCCATTTGAGGTCTTTTAGCCTTCCAAAAACGCATTTAAAGAGTTGAAAGTAAAGACGACGGTTTTTTTTTTAAAAAGAGTCGTCTATTATAGGTAAAGACGACCCTTTTAAAAAAAAACCATCGTCTTTACCTATAATAGACGACTCTTTTTAAAAAAAAAGGTGTAATGGATCTCAATCAGAGCTCGGACGACAAAACTGCAAATTCCCGCTACGTCCCTTCTGCTTCCACTGTTTTTATGCATCAAAACCGGATAACAGCCCCATACTAGTTACATGCCTTTTGAAAACATTATTTGGTAGCCCTTTATTGAATGTAACAGCCCCATACTAGTTACATACATCTTTAAATATAATAGACGACTCTTTTTCTAGAACAAACCGTCATCTTTACTTCATAATAGATGACCTTGTTTTAAACAAACCATCGTCTTTACATATAATAGACGACCATTTTTTTAAAAAAAGGGTTGTCTTTACTTTATAATAGATGACTCTTTTTTTAAAAAAAGACCGTCATCTTTACATATAATAGACGACAGTTCTTTCAAAACAACCATGTCTTTATCAAAAAAAGGACACTTGATTTTTAAAAGACGACGCTTGTCATACCTGCTGTCGTTGTTTTTTGGTCAGATTTTAACTCTGAAGAAAACCCTTTTAATAAGACGACGCTTTTTATTTGTGTGCGTCGTTATAAAAAAATATTCAACAGTACCTCCGTTTTTTAGTTGTTTAAGTAACTTATCCATGACGGTTTTTTGTTACCGTTGTCTTTTTAAATACAACGACGGTTTTTTCTTCTACCGTCGTCTTTTTCTGGTCGTCTTTTTTACTTTTTGTAGTAGTGTTATAATAGTTAACCTGATCTATAAATAATCCAAATATGAAGCTAGGAGAATGAAAATGAAAGAACTTCGCATATATACATCATAAACTTGGTCCAAAATAAGATAAGAGAAGCTACTCAATCAATGTCGCAACTTCAAAATACTTGGGCTAAATTCCCACTAATAAAAGTAGATGAAATTGAGTACTTACAGGAAGAGGGGTTGTGCATCCAAACATCTAAGACCCCAGGAGATCTCTGTCAATTCTGGAAGAAAGCAAGATATAAAAAATGTCAGTGGAAGAAACCCGTGCCATATAGAGATGTTATCACATAGACTGTAAGATTTGCTTCTTGTTTAAAATCAACATCTTCCATCTTTGAGTTTGGAACATTTTGTAATATGCAAACTCGACAAGCTGTGGCAGACTGAAACGACAGAGAAAAATTATTTTGTTTCCCCCACGGTGATTGGCTACGTTCATAGACAAGAAAGGAACGTTACTATATGTAACTACCATGTTACACCTTCAAACAAATTTCAAAGATACATGGGATGGATAAAACCAATCCACATGCACAAAGAAAGAACTTGAGGATTAGTTTCGGTAGATGATAAAACTTAGAGCCCAACATAAGCGCATCTGTCCAGACTAGATTTAGATCCAAACAACAAGAGAAATAAGAGAAGACGCTTTAGGGGGGGTGTATTCAATTGAGATTTTAATAGATTGTAATTACATGACTTTAATGTAATGGATTTCAGCCAGATTTGTAATTATATGATTTTACTCATGATTTTAATAGATTGCAATTACATGATTTTACCTATACTTCTATACAAGCTTGAACTCTACCACCCATCATCATTCACCTAAATACATAACCTGAAGGAATATACCCAATTTTTAGGACACAGATACCCAATTTTTAGGGTTAATATAAAGATGGAGGCACAGTAACCATCAAAGGTTAGTCCAGGGAGAGTACACCAACATCAACAATGTAACTCTCAACATAGCCACACATGGCCAGAATGAATACGTTAAAAAAACACAACACAACTGAGAAACCAACAATAGAAATACAAAAGCATAAGTAGAGGCTAGAAGCTACATCCAAAACCACCAACATCTAATGTAAAACAGATAGCACTAGAAATACAAATAAAGAAATGTACTAAAAACTCCTAGCCCAACCCCATGACTACTCCAATTTTTGTCAAAGCTTGGACCAAAACTGTGGAGTGAAAAAAACACATTGCACCTTATTAACATTTCTTCTAGATTGTGGATAAGGCTTCTTTTTTCTTTTTTTGTTTTGTCCTGGTTCCAAATGTTTTGGGACAGGGAATTAGAAAAGATATTTAGCCATGTGCGTTGTATGTGCAGCAGCTACGCATAATTTTTATTTATTTAAAAAATCCTCTTTGAGGCATTAGATCAAGCAACTTGTGGGCACACCGGTAGAGTTGTGGAGGGCTGTAATTCCTTGCGAGGAAATGTCTACAATGAGCAGGAGATTTTTTTTAAAAAGTATCGAAAATATAATTTTGCTCCAAATAAGCTTGTCTACAAGGAAAGAAGAGCTATTGGAAAATGCCCATTAGCTCCAGAAGAGGCAATATCATCTTTCTTGCTAATGTTTCTTTATCGTCTCTTTTATGAAAAGATTTTTTTATGTACAGTCAAAAGCATACAAAAATAGTGGGGAAAAAAAAAGTATGAGAGCATATATGAGAATCATGCATAGGAAGATGAGATTTGTTATGTGATTTGGTATTTATATCACACGCTCAAAAGTCTCACACAATATCATTTAATGAAATACCTCAAAATTAGTAAGTTTTTGAATACTACGATACTTTTCCTTATCTTTTAAAAGTCATAATTGAATACCACTAGATTTTTATTGATTACTTAAAAGTCCTAATTGAATACCCCTGTACTTTTAAGTTTCAAAACAATCCATTAAAATCACAATTGAATACACAAGTTTCACTGACAGATTTGACAGATCTATGCAGACAAGAAGCAAGAAAACGGAATTTTTATCATCAAACACACATAAATTAAGCACAGAAATTAACATGGCAAAGATAAACAAAAGAGACAAGGATATAGAAATATACTTCTGGTAAATCATTGATTCGATGTTTAGGAGAGCTTAAGATCGATGTTTAGGAAACCTGAGCTCAGGCTCTCCGGTAGAAATGACACCATCATCAGACTCTTCATCTCGGGCTTCAGACGCCTCAGATGTCTTCACCATTCTCTCTCTTTGGAAGCTAATCGATCCAAAACCCTAATTAGTGATTAGAGTGTGAGAGATGGCTAAGTACCCTTTGAGTTTTTATAGATGAGGACGAATGTTCTAGAATAGTGGTTTCGCAAAACATGAGGCTTCAATGCTGTGGGTAGGGGTATTAGGTTAACGTTTTCAACACAGTTGTCTTGGTTTATTTTTTGGACTGAGCTGTCTGGTATTAGGTTTTTGGGAGCTTTCATTTTAAAACACTATATAGTTTACTAATTTAGAATATAGAAATACAATTTCATCTAATTAAAGGCCAAAGACCAAAAAGTAGTACTAATTTTACAATAATGTAATTAAAAAACATCAAAATTACACACAATGCCACTCCTTTAAAAGCAAGCACACTATGCCACATGTCCAACTTCAGCAATCTCTCTTCCGGTCAGCTACCACCACCGCCGGCCAGCTACTGCCGCCGTCGCCGGTCAACCACCACCACATGCCGCCGGCCAACCTCCTTCGGGGCAACTGCCACCACCGCCGCCACCGGCCAGCCACCACAGCCGCCGCCGGTCAACCCCCTTCCGGCCAGTTGCCACCACCACCGACCAGCCGCCGCTACCTACCGCCACCGCCCATCACCGGCCAACCACCGCCACCTGTTGCCGCCCATCTCCGACCAACCGGGGACTAACTCCATTGCCCTTTATTCACCCTAAAAAAATAGAAGAATTTGTGTCATTAAAGGGACTCGAACCTTGGCCCTCAAAGGAGGAAGCCTCACTCACAAACCACTACACCAAACTTGTTTTTGTGATTCTATTCAATTACATAATATTTATATAAACAATCATTGATTTAAAAAATAAAAATAAAATAAAAAACAAAAAAAAAAAAAAACCAAAACCAAAACAACAAACAAAACCATCAAAAGGCCTCGTAGAAGAAGAATTACACAAGAAATTTGTCGTGGCAAACAAACCAAAGAAAGAAAAGGCCAACACAAAACAAAAGATGAAAACAGAGAAAGGGAAAGCAAAAAAGGAAGTTGGAGAAGAAGAAGAGGAAGATGAGGTTGTTGATTACAACAATGATGTGGTCAACCTAATTTGAGAAAAGATTTGTTATATATCTCTACTGTCATATAATCTTATAACAAGATGCAACAAACGGAAATGGAACAAGAAATTGCACTGCAGTTTTTGATCAAAAACTAAAACAAATGGAAACTGCAACAAACTAAAACTGCAACGCAGTTTATGACAACATTTGCTCAAATTTGCAAAGAAACCAAAAGGCAAAGCCATTATCAAAGTACTAAAATTAAGTTCAAAACACATTTAAGTCGATGAGAAGTTCTAGCATTCCCATAGACTTGGAAAAATTATTCTAAAATTGAAATATAGAACAGGAAACTGCATTGCAGTTTCTGATAAAAAAAAATATGCAACAAACAAAAACTTCAGTGTAGTTTATAAAAAAAAATATGCCCAAAAGTGAAAAGAAACCAAAAGGCAAAGCCATGATCAAAGTACTAAAACTAAGTTCAAAACACATATAAGTAGATAAGCAGTTGTAACATTCCCAGACTTGGAAAAATTATTCTAAAATCGAAATATGGAACAAGAAACTGCGCTGCAGTTTCTTATCAAAAATTGCAACAAACGGAAATTGCAGTGCATTTTATGATTTGCTCATATTTGCATAGAAACCAAAAGGCAAAGCCATGATTAAAGTACCAAAACTAAGTTCGAAGCACATTAAGTCGTAATATTACTTGCAAAAATCATTCTAAAAGAGAAATATGGAACAAGAAACTGCATTGCAGTTTCTGATAAAAAAAACTGCAACAAACAGAAACTGCAATGCAGTTGCAGTGCATTTTATGATTTGCTCATATTTGCATATAAACCAAAAGGCAAAGCCATGATTAAAGTACCAAAACTAAGTTCGAAGCACATTAAGTCGTAATATTACTTGCAAAAATCATTCTAAAAGAGAAATATGGAACAAGAAACTGCATTGCAGTTTTTGATAAAAAAAACTGCAACAAACAGAAACTGCAATGCAGTTGAAGAAAAAAAAAAATCTGCTTAAATATGAAAAGAAACCAAAAGACAAAGCCATGATCAAAATACTAAAACTAAGTTCAATACACATATAAGTAGATGAGCAGTTGTAACATTCTCATAAACTTGGAAAAATTATTCTAATATCAAAATATGGAATAGGAAACTTCAAACAGGACGCCACATGATATGACTTGTGAGAGGCTGTTCAAACAGCAAAATATAGCCTGTTCGAATGGCCTATCACATCCCAAAAAACAAGATCCTGCTGATGAAGAAAGAGTCATGTGTGTGTGTAACAAACAGGCACACAAGAATGCAGACATATATGCATTTATATATGTGTGTGAAATATAGACTAAAAACATGCACTAACTAGAGATTTTAAAGCAAACTCAAATATATATCAAGTAGAACTAGAAGGGGAAGAGAGGGTTTGTACTTACAGGTTGGCAGAGCTCACAGATTATGACCAAATTGGATTTGACACAGCCTGGCCCAACTTTGAATTAGAGATGAAGTGAGAGAGCGAAATGTTATGTTGTGCGAAATCAGAAAATTTTAGGGTTCAGGGTTACAAGTATAAAAATAAGAGCCAAATCTGAAAATTTTAGGTCCCGCGAATATTTTAAGAAAGCGCGCTTTTTAAAACATCGACCGAAAAAACAAGCGTCGTTAAAATTTAACATTAAACATGACGCTTATTACATTCAGGACGTCGTGGTAAAAACTATGTGCCACGCAAAATCAAAAAAGGCGTTAAAACTATGAAAAACCACGGCGGGTTAAGTAACTAACGACGTTGTAAATAATAATAAACGACTAAAAGGTAAACAAAACGTCGTTTAAAACAGAAACCACGTCGGATTTTTCACCATACGACGTAAACTCAATATTCCACGACTCAATCCCCGTCGTTAAAAGTAATACCCTAAACTTTAAAACCATAAATTATATATTTGTAAAATTTAATTTTATAAAATTGTTTATGGTTTTACATCCTAATAAATAACAAGCATAAACCCTAAACCCCAAAAATTATACTTTAACCATAAACCCTAATAAATAACAACCCTAAACCCCAAACCCTAAACCCTAAACCATCAAACTATATAAGTGATGCTATGACACATAACAACAATTTTATTTTGGTTGGTCATTTTAAACTTTTATTACACAAACTGCATTTTTTTGGGGTTTAGGGGGAAGAAAATATATCAATGACTTCATAGGAGTTGAAGTTGAATTTTTTGAATTTATTTTAATTTTAATTTTAAAATTTTGAATTAAAAATAATAAAATATTCTTATATCAACAACAAACCACGGCGGGTTAAGTAACTAACGACGTTGTAAATAATAATAAACGACTAAAAGGTAAACAAAACGTCGTTTAAAACAGAAACCACGTCGGATTTTTCACCATACGACGTAAACTCAATATTCCACGACTCAATCCCCGTCGTTAAAAGTAATACCCTAAACTTTAAAACCATAAATTATATATTTGTAAAATTTAATTTTATAAAATTGTTTATGGTTTTACATCCTAATAAATAACAAGCATAAACCCTAAACCCCAAAAATTATACTTTAACCATAAACCCTAATAAATAACAACCCTAAACCCCAAACCCTAAACCATCAAACTATATAAGTGATGCTATGACACATAACAACAATTTTATTTTGGTTGGTCATTTTAAACTTTTATTACACAAACTGCATTTTTTTGGGGTTTAGGGGAAAGAAAATATATCAATGACTTCATAGGAGTTGAAGTTGAATTTTTTGAATTTATTTTAATTTTAATTTTAAAATTTTGAATTAAAAATAATAAAATATTCTTATATCAACAACAGTGACGTTGTAAATAATAATAAACGACTCACATGTAAAAAGGACGTCGTTTAAAAGAGAAACCATGGCGGATGTTTCACTATCTGACGTAAAATAGATATTCCACGACCTAATCACCGTCGTTAAAAGGTATTACCCTAAACCCTAATGAACGACTTACTTGTTCAAAAGGACGTCGTTTAAAAACGAAACCATGGCGAAATTTTCATCAAAACGACGTCCCATGTACGTCCCATCTTGTCTAAATATCATTTTACGTCGGTTTTTTACATAATTATGTCGTTGGAAAGTTATTACACGTCGGTTACGCAATTTGTTTTTTCTTTTATAATATGAAAACCTCAGCAAATTGTCAGGGAAAAAAAGGATGTATATTATAGACAAAATTTGTACATTATATATTATAGACAAAATTAGTACATAAAAAATTATCAAGTGTTCCAAAAATCCTCTAATCCATATGAAGGCAAACAAACTCTGCCCATTCTTTCCTGACTTCATCAATGGCTGCTTGGGGGTATGGCGCTTGATCTTTTCCCTTGGCAAACTGCAATCCATAAACAAAGATTATTAAGCTTTACAGACGACGTTTTTTTTCATAACCGACGTAGTCTATCGATTCAACGACGGTAATTTTAAATGACCGTCGTTGATAATACAAAAAACCACATAAAATGTTTCTGAAAATTTTATTCTTACCTTCTTCTCAAACTCCAAGGAAGGATCCATGATGATGTCCCTCATGAAGCGCATCACATAATACCCGCATTCGACACTGCTGGGTTGCTTTGGTGTGCCTGGCAGAGTTTTCCAAATAGGTGCTTTACGGCCTGGTTGCCTATGTGGGAATTATAAATTTTTAAAGCACTGTTCACAATGTTTTTGCCCTCCTCATCAACCACACGATTTCCAGGCAGAGGATCCAGAAAATAGACGGTTTCCCTCTTTGCCCTCACAATCAGCAAGACCCAATGACGGCTGCACAAAAATAAAATAAAAAACGACGGTTATTTATAAAAACCGACGTATTATATAGTTTCACACGACGTAATAACTTAATCATCGACGTCATTATAAATTTATCACGACGAGAATTAACTAACGACGTGGTTAGTTGTTTCAAACGACTCAATAAATAAATAACCGACGTGGTTAGATGTTTCAAACGACACAGAATTAGTTAAACAGTTTTATAAGTGAAAATCATACAAACAAAATCCTTTTAAGGAGACTAACCCTGGATTGTAAGGCATCATGAAAATCTGTTCACCATCTGTTTTCTGAAGTCGACTGGCTACAATTCGTGATCTGTCAGTTAGTGACCCAGCGTTGGCACTAACTTGAGCAGGGTCGATAAAGCCAACCATGCTGCACATATTTGCTTCTCTCAAAAGATCATATAAGCACCTAAATATATAAAACAAACGACGGTTATTTATACACAAACGACGTATTATACAATTTAACACGACGAACTGAAATAGAAACAGACGTGATAACTAATTTATCACGACAGTAAAAAAGAACGACGTGGTTAGTGGTTTAAAACGACTCAATAATTAAACAACCGACGTCTTATGATATTGATTAGGACAAACCTCATATATACTGCAACCACAGTAGCCCCAATTTCTTCCATGCCTGAAAACTGTGTAATATCTTCATGCAAGACGAAGGTACTTCGATCTGCACCAAACACCTCCTTCTCAATGTTGAAGGTCATGATCTTCCCCTGTGGCTTTAGTGTAGTTTCCACATAACCACAAAGGGATTGTAAGGAAGATGGCACCTCCACATTCGAATAATCAACTACTTCATTACCCTGTTTAAAGAAATAAAGCAAAATAAAATGACGTGGTAATTCATTAAAAAACGACGGTTTAAATTAAAAAACGTCGTCTTATTATAATTTAAACGACGGTAATTAAATACCGTCGTTTTATATTATTTATTACGTCGTAGAAAATAAATTCCGACGTCTAATGTGAAAACAAACGACGGTTTAAAGAAAAATATCGACGTCTGAAATGTGAAAAACAAATTAAAAAGGCAAAGTTATGAGAATATACCTCCTCGTCATGCTCTTCATCTTGTTTTTCTTCTTTCTTCTCTTCAACATTTGTATCTTCCTCTTTGCCTTCATCTTTATTCTCTTTTTTTTCTTCCTTCTTCCCTTCATCTTTTTTTTCTCCCATCTTCTGTTCATCTTTATTTTCTTCTTTCTTCTCTTCATCTTGATTATCTAAAGCCCCAGATTTCTGTTTTAAATAATAAAGAAATATATATATAAGACAGATTGTACAGAGAGTAAAAAAATTAAACCAAAACGTCGTGGTAAGGCATAACATAAGACGGTATGTAAGAATTATGGACGTCTTAAAATTATTAAACGATGGTAAATAATAAACGTCGTGGTAATTTTATATTACGTCGTTAAGGAAAAAAACCGTTGTCTAAAAGCCACAAAGTACGACGTCTAATGGCGTGTCAAACAAGTAAACTAAATACGACGTGGTATTTAAATAAACACGACGGGTTATTTATAAAATCGTCGTGGTATGGTTTTAAAACGACGGGTTTATTAATAATAACGACGTCTAATGTTTAAAAAAAAACAGAGAATTCAAAGTTCAGATATGTTACCGTTTGTTCCTGTTGTTCCCCATTTCTGGCAGTATCATCCTCTAAATGTAGGGATCTCACTTCAGCCCCAGAACAGCTTGCTTTATCAGACATTGGATTCATGGGACTTTGCTGTAGACCTTGGTTTTGACAGGGGCTAGTTTTCGGTTTAAGCATGCTTGGATCAAAATTGGGGATGAGGTGGGAAAGCTGACTTAGTAAATGTTCCCTCTCAGCCTCTATTCTAGCTTCCATCTTCTTAGTCTCTTCTTGAAGGACAATTCTTACACTTTCCTTCAATTGATCAGCAAACTTTACCCTTTGTGGTCTGGTAAATTGAAGAATTGCCTAGGGGAAATCCCAGCACCTACCCCTCTTACTCTCCCTGGATGCTCGGGACCCAAAGCCAAGGTCAACACATCATTACTGCCAGTTATACTCAGACTGCCTTCAGCCACTTGTTTTTGCAATTCATCCTAAAACAAAGACATAAAAAAAAGTCAGAACAAGAAAATACACGACGGTTATTTAAAAACAAACGACGCAATATATAATTTCACACGACGCACCAATATAGAAATCGACGTTATAATACATTTATAACGACGTTAATTAAAACCGACGTGGTTAGTTGTTTAAAACGACGCAATAAATAAACCACCGACGTCTTATGCTGTAATTACATAAAACAGAGTTGTGATTCCAGATTTAGCTCTTTCACGACGTTTTTGAAAACATTTCGACGTAGTAATAACATTAAAACGACGGAAAAAATTAACCACCGACGTCTTATTCTATAATCACAGAAAACAGAGTTGTGATTCCAGATTTAGATCTTTCACGACGTTTTTTAAAATATTTCGACGTAGTAAAATCATTCACACGACGGAAAAATATAACATAAGACGTAATAAGAATTCTACCCAGTTTAATAAAAATTTAAAACAGAGTGTGTAGGCTTACAATTAATTTTGCTTTCTCTGCCACCTTTGGATCGGGGATGTTACCATGTTTGTCCTGTCTAGCTTTCTTCCATAAGGTAGATCGATCAATTTCTACCCCAGGCATGGTTTCCTCCAATTGATCCTCCAAACCAGCATATCCTTTTCGAGACAATCGATGATTGTACTCAAGTTTCTCCCTAATCTGTGCATGTTGGGAATGCACAGACTCAAAGTCTTTGGATAACCTTGAAGCTACAAAGGCATCCCATTCTGCTTTCTCTATGAATTTATATACTTCAGGGGGTTGGCTTAATTTCTCCCTCTCATTGATGTATGGAAGGATATAATGCCTCGTCAGTGTAGACTTGAAATCCTTCCATTTCTTGGCAGCAGAAGATAACACCGAGGTCTTGCCCCCTTGACCTACCACAAAAGCCATGTCAACGGCTTCCCAAATCTGCTCCTTTATATCATTGGGGATGTCAGCCCATTTCTTGTCCACAAGTGGGACTCTGGAGCGTGCCAACACACCAATGTAGGACTGCATCTCAGTATGTGCAGGGCCACATCCTTTCCCCCTTTTATTGTACTCAACAACTGGCTTGATTTTCTGCAATTTTCTCTTCACAACACGAGGCATTGTGCTCATACCTCGACCTGACTTTGAATCCTCAGAAATTGTTGTCGTGCTGCTTGGTTCTTTCTCAGCAGATGAAACAAACTTCATCTTCTTCAAGGGCTTGTCTTGAGGAGTTACCATTCCAAGCTCCTTACCTCCATTTTTTTGGAGCCAGAGTACTTACTTTGATCTTCAGAAACCATGGTTACAGAATAAAAAAACCTGCAAGTGAAAATATTTCGTGAAAAAAATTAGAACACAAACGACGGTTATTTATAAACTACGACGTATGATAATATTTTACACGACGTAATAACATAACATCAGACGTAACAAATGATTAAAGAAGAACAATATAAATGTTTAAACAACGACGAAAAAATATTAAATAAGACGTAATAAGAACTTATTACGGCGATATTTACACGACGTCGTGATATTCATATTAACACGACGTAAATATTAATATAACGTCGTGTTATGTATATTCACACGACGTGAATAATAAGCTACCGTCGTATTTATAAGAAACCAAAAACATTTTTCTTTCTTTGTGAATGTTTGATTGCAGGTTTGATTTCTCTGAAACATGGTTTTTGTTTTTCCTAATTTGATAAAATACAAAGAAAAAAAGCTTTGGCATCTTTTTATAGACGACGGTATCTTTAGTATAACGTCGTGGTATGAACATTCACACGGCGTCAATAATAAGATACCGTCGTCTATATAAGATACCAAACCCTACTTTCTTTGTCTCTGTATTTTATCAAATTAGGAAAAACGAAAACCATGGTTCAGAGAAATCGAACCTGCATCTAAACAAGCAAATAAAAAATTGACCGTCATTTTAAAAACAACTTAGATCAATTTTAAGACGACGCTAGGACGACTGATGAACCGTCGTGGTCTACATATTTAACCACGTAAATAAAAAGCTACCGTCGTCTTATTTAGTTGAATTAGTTATGTTCAAAGTTGAAACATTCCCTCTCTGTCTGTGTATTTTATCAAACTTGGAAAGAATAAAAGTTATTTTTGCCAGAAAAAAGGTAAAAAGATTTTCAAAACAAAAACAGTATGAGCATGCAAAATAGCAACAAAAATAGTGAGAAATGAAAGCTTACCTTTTGCGTGCAATGAAAGCTTTCTCTCGGATTTTGGTGTTTAAGTTCAGAGGCGACGACGAAGACAAGAGGAAGACGATGAGATACTCTGACAGTGCTCTGACAAGGAAAAAAGACGAAAAGTTTTCTCTGGGAGATTGAAATGTTTTCTCGGGTTTGGAAACAGTGCATGTGTAAGTCAGGTAGACGAAAAGTTGTATATGTATACAAACCGTTTCATAATAATAAGACGGCGGTTTACATAGAACGACGACGTATTAATAGACAAACTACGACGCTAATTTGAACTTATGACGTGGTACATAAATACGACAGTGGTGTTGTAGGTACCGCCGTAGTAAACTCCTAAATAAAAGTCGATAACTCAATATCTCGCGTCATGGTAGATATATTTAACACGACGGTTGTTTTAAAGTTACGACGTTTATTTTCATAATATACGTCGTTTTATTGTAATATACCGACGTGGATAACACTAAACTAAAACGACGTATTATTTTTCCACGACGTGGATTCGTTTTTAAACGTCGTTATGTGTAATATAACCGACGTGGATTTTATTTTTTTATTTTAAATATAATTTTTTTCCCCTTTTTCTTATAGTTTATTTTTCAAAAACAGTGCCTTATAGATATAGTTTTTTTTCCCGAGGAAATTAATGTTCTAGAATTTGTAAAGTTTCTTTTCTAGGTGACTGATTTAAATCAAATAAAAATATAAAACAACGACTGTTTTTGTTATACCGTCGTCGTTTATTGTCGTCTTAAGTAAGAATAAAACGACGTGCTGTATTTGTTACCGACGAGGATTGTTTTTGTTAAACGTCGTTATGTGTATTATAACCGACGTGGATTTGGTTTTTTAATTATAAATAGGGTTTTTTTCCACGGGTTCTTTCAGTTTTAGTATTCGATTAGGGTTTCAACTTTTTCTTGCCGCTTTCTCTGTCTCACCTCATCTCTTGGGATTGCAAATCTGATTGCAAATCACCAATTTTCAATAAATTGTCTCTCTGATTGCAAATCTGTGGCTGCCGTCGTGAAGTTTTAGGAGGCGATTGTTTGGATGTGAATGTGTATGTGCGTTTGTGTAGATACACAAACACACATACATCATTCACTTCCAAAAAATTGTCTCTCTGATTGCAAATCTGTGGCTGCCGTCGTGAAATTTTAGGAGGCAATTGTTTGGATGTGAATGTGTGTGTGCGTTTGTGTAGATACACAAACGCACACACATCATTCACTTCCAAAAAATTGTCTCTCTGATTGCAAATCTGTGGCTGCCGTCGTGAAATTTTAGGAGGCAATTGTTTGGATGTTGATGTGTGCGTGCGTTTGTGTAGATACACAAACGCACACATATCATCAACTTCCAAAAAATTGTCTCTCTGATTGCAAATCTGAGGCTGCCGTCGTCAAATTTCAGAGGCAATTTTTTGGATGTTAATGTGTATGTGCGTTTGTGTATCTCAAAGACACAAATACACATACATCATTAACCTCTAAAATATTGTCTTTCTGGTAAGATTATAATGAGCAACAGATCTGGAGTTCCATCTTGTAAGATTTCCTAACCCTTGTGATCTCAGAATAATCTGATTATGTCGGCGGTTTTCTATATAAACCGTCGTGGTTATTTCAATTCTTGTCGTTAGGTAGATCTACCGACGTAGGATAACAAAATCGAAGAAATAAATTGTTAAAAAAAATTCTTATTCAGACGACGGTTTAAATATAATTATGACGTATAAAGTGGACAAATACGACGTTAAATTCTATAATACGTCGTTATATGAAAAACCCCAACTTCGTAAGATTGAAAGATGTCGTCGTAGAAATACGAGAAAGACGTCGTTATATTTACCTTTGCCGTAGTTGTACATTAATTTAATACGGCGGTATTTTGTATTTTACCGCCGTGGATTTATTTGTAATTTACGTCGCCTTATACGAAAACTTGGTCGTGTTAATTTCTGGGTAAAAACGACGGCTTTTTGTGAAACCGTCGTCTTTACTTTCTACGTCGGTCGGTTCATAACTTCCGCCGTTATTTGTTTGCTACGATTTTACCTCTTGAAAATCCTATTTCAATAAGACGTCGGTTTTTTAATTAAGTACGTCGTGTTTTTGGAACAGCCATTTGAAACTCCATTTTTAAGTTGTATAATGTGTTATTACACGGCGGTTTTATAAAACCGTCGTCTTTTAAAAAACAACGACGGTTTTCACGTAGACCGTCGTGTTTTTGTGGTCGTCTTTTTCACTTTTTGTAGTAGTGAAATGGTATTACATCAAATGATTATAGACTTTTCTTCTAAAAATTTCTCTGTTACTTTTAAACAGATTAATTTGATGCGTACATTTCGAAATTTTTAAAAAATTATTTTTTTGGGAAAAACAAAAGTATTGTATTCTGTTCTAAGATTTCATGCTTCCAAAAAAAAAAGCAAAGAAAAATTGTTAAGTTGAAGTATATATACATGTGTGCTAGTTTAGAAATTAGTGTTGACAATAGTACGTAGTGGTGATGGTTATGTTATGGTGAAAGGTAGAAAGAACACAACAAGTACGTACAAATTTAAGAATGTTAGGTGAAAAAAGTTTGTAGTTTATGCACTCAAAAATAATTTTGCATGGAATGTTGATTCTAACCTTTTAAATGAATGAGATCTTATTCAAAAGAAATTAATTGGTACACCCAAAACACATTCTAGAATCTACAAGATAGGAGAAAACTCTCAAAGTCAAACACCAACTTACCTTACCTAAAATACTAAAAAATTGACATAAAATTCAACGTCTTTCATGGAAACAAACGACAGCTGACTAGCATCTATTAAAAGGTTAACTATTGATTTACCCCTTGAACTTGTACGCTACTTTCAATTTGCACCTTGAATTTTATTTTTTTTTGGAAAATTAAGGATACAAACTTTTTCTTTTCCCAAATTTCCCAAAAAACAATTCAGGGTGCAAATTGAAAGTAGCGTACATGGGGTAAATCAACAGTTAACCCTTTATTAAACTCTCCTAAGTCACAGATTCTTCAACACTTATGACATTACTACCATAACCTAAGTAGACAACTTTGATTACACAACAAAAACACCAAAACCGGGGTGGTATTTAAAGCACCACGTTATTGAGAGACCATCATATTAAGGTTCGAAAAATCATTGCAGATGTGTAGAATGTTGTACGCTTTTAACTTGCACGACATGTTTTTTTGTTGTTGGTACATTCGCTAGTTTTTATTTATTTCAATAGATACGATATTCTATTTTAATTTAATCTAAACTATAGAGAGAGGGATTCGAACTCATGCATGCAGAGTAAGGAGCACATACACTCTAGCCAACTTAACTGAGTTCATTTATGCTACTTGCTTGCACGACATGTTTAGTGGCTACCATCGTGTATGGGAAATAGGATGACTTAAGTATGCCCACTTACAGCATAATCCATCATCCATGCTAGCCTTTTTCTCGTATTTTCACCCCTCAAATTATAACAACTTCCTTCTTCTAATTGTTGATGAGGTTGAGCCACAAGTTGAAGTGATTGTTGACCTTGAATTTCATGATTATCCTCTATGTCACCATATGATGCATTATCATCTAGTATTGGATTTTGAATTGAGTTGCCATCATTCCAATTCCACATAGTTTCTTCATCAAACACCTATGCTTATTACAACCTTCTTTGTCACCGAATTGAATAACTTGTAAGTCTTTGAAGTTTCACTTACATCGAGAAATATACACTTCACTCTTGTCATCGAGTTTCTTTCTTCTTTGATTAGGTATGTGTGCATCTGTGATGCACCCAAACACCTTGAAATGATCAATTGAGGGCTTCTTCCCATTCCATGCTTCTTGTGGTGTCATATTCTTCACTATAAATGTTGGACTTCGGTTTAAAATGTGAATTGACCACCACTACTTCTAGCCAAAACTATTTTGGGACCCCTCATGTAGCTATCAAACTTCGAACCATGTTGAGAATGGTTATATTCTTCCTTTCACACACACACCCCATTTTGTTGTGGTGTGTATGAAGTAGTCAGTTATCTTCTTATGCCATTTGCTTCATAATATGCTTCAAACTCAATAGAAAAAAACTCTCATTCTCTGTCTATTCTAAGAGTTTTAATCTTCTTCTCAGTTTCGTTTTCAACAAGAGCCTTGAAACTCTTGAATGCATGGAAGGCTTCTGATTTTTCCTGCAAGAAATATACTCATATCTTTCTACTTAAATCATCAATAAAAGATATACAGTGTCTCTTATTACCATTTGAAGAAGGATTGATTGGTCCACAAAAGTCTAAGTGAATTAATTCAGACATAGCTCGAGCTCTTTATGCCTTTCCACTAGGGAATGAGTCCCTTTCATGTTTCCCAATGACACATTTTTTGCAGGTTTGCGATGGAGGACAGATTGCTAGGAGACCTGTAACCATTTGCCTATGATGAAGGGTCCTTAAGCTATTAAAATTTAAATGGCCATATCTATAGTGCCATTTCCACGATGAGTCATCTTCCTTAGCTAGCAAGCAATCTTGCACTATCTTGATCTTCAAGGGAAATAATCTGTTTGAGGACTTTATCACAGCAATGGAACCTCTCCTTGGATCATACACTTCACATTCTCCTTTGAAGATTGTGATTTTGTAGCCTTTATCTTATAACTGACCAGCACTCAAGAGATTTGTTTTCAAATCAGGAATATTAAAAAAACATTTTAGATGATTTTAATGAAGTCATTCTTAGTCCTGATTTGAATGTCTCCATTTCCCATGACATCTCCGGTTGATTTGTCCCTAAAGTTCACAACTGAACGAAAACTTTCATCTAGATTTACAAAAGAGGACTTGCATCCACTAATGTGATTACTCCACTGTCTATGCACCATGTCTCTTGATCAGGCTCCTCCAATGCTTGGAAGGCCATTAAAAGTGTCTTTTCCTCCTTTTTCTTCTCAGCAAAATTGGATTTTTCTCCCTTCTCCTTTAGCGGCTTCGTGTAGCACTCACTCTTATAAGACCAAGGTTGCCACATCTGTAGCATTCAATCTTAGACTTGTCATACTGCCCCCTTCCTTTTCCTGGAGAGTCATCATCTCTCTTTGAGGAATGAGATGGATTGCTACCATCTCTATTTCCATGACCGCCTCTTCCATGACCTCTTCCACTTCTTCCTCTACCTCTTCCTCTATTCCTTGAGGATTCATTATGGGTAGAGGCTTTGAGAGCTATTTGCTCCTCTACCTTATTAGCAAGGTTGAGCTTTTGTTCATGAACTAACAAAGAACTTTGAAGTTCATTAATGGACATACATTCAAAATCCTTGGACTCTTTAATTGAACAGATCCATTTTGGGGACATTGATCTCAACAATTTTTCATCGTCCATGGTTGCACCATGAAAACACATATTGTTTGCAATTCCCATCGTTCTTGCAAAAAAAATCTGTAACAGACTCGCCAGACTTCATTTGAAGAGTCTCAAAGTCTCTTGTTAGGGCTTGTAGCTATGCTCACTTCACCCTTGTTGTGCCCGAGTATTTCTTCTTCACCGAGTCCCAAATTTGCTTAGAAGCCCTAATCCATATGCTATTGTAATTCCGTATTTATGCTTAAGTTGTAAATCAATAGACAATAATTTCCAAATCAATATCCCTAAATTGCCAAAGCGATACCTATCAATTGCCACATCGATACCCAAAAATTGCCAAATGGATATACAGTAACTGAAAAATTGATATCCATTAGTCTACTCCAACAAACCTTGCTCCAAAACGTTACCTAAAATTTTCGACTTAGAGACCCTTGCTATTACTACAAAAACATTATGAAAAACACACAAACGTATATGATGTGAGAACAATTTTTCCTATGAATAAAGTCAATTAAAAGCTAACATGTAAACTCATAAAACTATTTCATTAAATTATGTGGAACCGATTTATATTGATCATGCATCACAAAACTATTTTAATGATTGTTTTTTGTAATAATAGAAGTGCAATACAATGACTTTTTGAAGAGTAAGGAAAAAGAGAGTCATGTTAATTAACGTTAAAATCCCCAACACCTTAACTTGCTATAGTCAATATTTCAAATAAAGTAAAAAACTCAATTAGCATGTGCAACGCACATGCTTCATTAAAAACAGATGGTGTATCAGTACACCTATGTGCTGTAGACGTCGCCATGGGGACCCTCCCGATATCATACAAAATGTCTTAGTTGAAGATCGAGTGTAATGGTTTGTTTCAATAACTCACTGTTTTTTTTAAATTAAAAAAAAACATTTAGTTTTAAATCAATTGAAATTTTCATTTACCAATTTATTTATTTATGATTAGCATAATATAATAAGTTAATTATTATTTACACCATAATCGACCGAGCAGTTTCAGCACCAACTAAACAGGCACACGCGCCAATGGCTATAAGAAAGACACTTGAATGATCCCTAAAATACAGATGACGTCATCACCTTCTTCCTCCTGCCGAAGGGGTACCTCCCTCCGAATCGGTAGTCGCCCACCGAAGACAGCTGTAAAGGTCTTTTTGTTCCAGCAGCCTGACGAATGGGCTTGGGCTGCCGTAAGAAGAAAACGAACAGAAATTCCCCAAGTATCTGAGTTCAGAAACCAAGCTCCTAAAAGAGTTTTTGAAAGGTTTGATGAAACCTTAGAAAAATACCCTCAGGTTCTTTTCATCAATAGCCAAATAAACATGATACATTGATTAATGGCTTAGCATGAGGAGCTTGTGGCATGGGAGCAAAACCATCATGAGTTTAACATGAACAGAGAAAGATAAGCGTGAGTTTCTTACAGTGAACAAATGGTTAAAGTGGAACAGAGGAAGATTAGACAAATTTCTTTCCTAAGGGGGGAAGAGAACGAACGAAGAAGAGAATTGGGTGGCTTGAGTAAAATTTCTAGTTTGCTTGACAAAGCGTGGTCAGGCCTTGGATGGGTTGGTTTTCTGGGTAGCTTAGGCTCTCTTTTATAGCCATAAAGAACCCTAATTTCGTCTTAACTTTTCCTCCCCTTTTTCATTGCTCATTTCCACTTTATCTTCTTTGGTGAATTTCTCCCATCCAAGGAGCATGGGTAAGGAACCCTTTGTGGTTCTAAGAGTTTGATGCAACTAGACCTTCCCATAAGGGGGGAGGCACCACCTGCTTTTCTTATGGGTTTTCAAGATGGAGCTTGCAGAGGAAAGGAGAGATGGAGGGAGTTCTTTGTCCGATGGGTACTCGTCCTTCACGAACGGATTTTTGTTGGTTCCTGCCATGGCTCCTTGTTTGACTGTCTTGGAGTCCTAATCAAAATGGAGCACGACGCCAGGCTTTTAATAAGGCTTTGGGCTGGGCTTGTATGTACAGTGTTGGGTCTTTAGCTTGTTACTTCTATCGTTTGATAGGTTTTTGCCAAGCTGCTGGAAGCAGTTTGCCTGTTGCATTTTTAACAAAGTATTTGGATGCTCTAACTAACATAGGGTTTCCTAAGCAAACTACTGTATTCTCTAAGGCATTGGGTCATGTTCTCTTTCTCATGCTAGCCCATGTGTTTGGGCTCAAGAAATGGGCTTGAGTTTTGGGGCTCCCAAGCAGCCCAAAACTTCCATTTCTTAGCTCATCAATGGGCCTCATGAAAGCTTGTTACCATCCATACCACAACCCACTCAAGCAAGCCCCGGGCATTTGCGTGGCTTGGGCCCACTTAAGCTTGTAGTGTGGTTGGGTGTGAAATAATAATTTCTTGCTTAGCATGGCATGTCAATTGGCGTGTTTTAATTTTATCGTCCTTGAATAGAGGCATGATGCTTAACGGGGTAAATAGCATGGGCTCGTAGAGTTAGTGCTTATTTCAACTCTTAGCATGAGAGATTGCATATTTATTTGGCATGGCATGTGTTCGTGGCTTGTGCAAGCATGAATGAGGAATTTTGCATGCTCCGAACCAAGTCTTTTTCTTAATAAGGCATTATGTTGGGCCGAGAATTTATTTGGGCCCAACCCTGGATTTTTGGGCCTCAACAACAGCTACCGACGCTCTCAAGCTGCAAAACCTAGAACCACGGACACATGTCACCACCACAACAGTTTGCACAAAGTCCCACATCGAAACTTTGTGTAAACTCTCACTTTCACTTCTCTATAAAAGGGGAATAGTGCCCTGGTAAAAAGGGTAATTATTTTCTACCATTACAATTACCCTGCTAAAATTACCACATATTCCACACTCGCTGATTTATAATTGTCAAAGGTCCATAGCCTTCCTACCCTGCTGAAGATCCAACATTCTTCCATCTAAGTTGACCTTCGGAAAAAGGGCATCAACAATTATAATTGTAAAATAGCCAATATCCGCAAATTCATTTATCTTTGATCTGAGCATGCAAGTGCTTTGTTCATGTCGTCAGATGAATATCTCAGCTAGAATTGCTGATTTTAGGTCTTTTTAGAGGTATTTAATTAATCGGATCCATTTATTATGTTCTTCTCTATTTTATTTTCTTCTTATATTTCTTCCCTAAGAAGTTCCCACGAACCTCCTCAATGAATACCAACTTGTTCTTTCCGGTGGAACTTACAATTGAATTTACTGTCACATCTCACTCATTAGGCATGGGAGTTAAAGTCAAACAAAGTAGGGCAAATATTCAGATATGCTCAGAGATTATTATTCTTCTTCAATATGGAGGTATTTATACAAGTACAAAGATGTGTTAACCCTAAATAAAATAGGAAATATATCTAAATTACAATAGGAAGTAAATCTCTATTACAATAGGACTAAATAATAATTGGTAAGTAACCAAAATTCTAATGAAATAAGGAACCAAAATCCTAACTAAGTAAGGACTCGCCAACACTCCCCCTCAAGTTGGGCAAAGATATGTCGCACGCCCAACTTGACAAGCGAGTCACAGAACACCATACTTGAGAAACACCAATTATAGAGAAGGTCTTTTCGTCAACCACAAGTGAAACAAGTGACAAATTAAAGCAAAGTTCGCAGCGGAAACACAAGAGCAAGCCTTAAAAAATAGGGCACATAGCAGAACACAGAAACCCTATGAGCATGACAATAGATAAAGCAGAACACATAAACCCTGTGAGCACAGCAGTAAATAAGGCAGAACACAGAAACCCTATGAGCATGGCAAAAGATAAGGCAGAACACAAAAATCCCGTGAGCACAGGAATAGGTAAGGCAAAACACATAAACCCTGTGAGCATGACAGTAGATAAGGCAGAACACAGAAACCCTGTGAGCACAGCAATAGATAAGGCAAAACACAGAAACCCTGTGAGCACGGTAGTAGGAAATGCAAAACGCAGAAACCCCGTGAGCATAACAGTAGACAAGGCAAAACACAGAAACCCTGTGAGCACAACAGTAGATAAGGCAGAACACAGAAACCTTGTGAGAACGGCAGTAGATAAGGCAAAACACAGAAACCCTATGAGCATGGCAGTAGGTAAGGCAATAGCAAGGTAGGCGGTGGTGACAGTTGCAAGGTAGACGGCGGCGGCGGGCTAGGATAATAGGTTAGGTGTATAGTGCAGTGGAAATAGGTAGTGTTTAGGGTTAGGGGTAGGTTTTTTATTTTTTATTTTTTTATTTTTAATGTTGTAGAGACGGACCAAAACACAGCAACATCATTGGCAATTACCATAGCAACGGAAAACGAAGCAAACAAAGGCAACATCGACCACAACAACGGCAACGATACCAGCATCCAAAATGAAGGAGAATTCCTCCATATCTACTTTACCTAATTCACGCAGACACAAATTCTCTTCACTCCCCTTCTCCCATTGAAGAGAAGTGGTCGTCGGAGTCAAGACATAGGTAATATCTTCATGGGAAAGAAAAATAGATATTTTTCACTCACTCCCCCCCAACTTAAATTGCAAGGAGAATGCAAACACAGGTCACACGAAAACCTAGGCTCTGATACCAAGTCAAACAAAGTAGGGCAAATATTCAGATATGCTTAGACATTATTATTATTCCTCAATATGGAGGTATTTATACAAGTACAAAGATGTGTTAACCTTAAATAAAATAGGAAATATATCTAAATTACAATAGGAAGTAAATCTCTATTACAATAGGATTAAATAATTATTGGTAAGTAACCAAAATTCTAATGAAATAAGGAACCAAAATCCTAACTAATAAGTAAGGACTTGCCAATAGTTAACAGCACCAAGGCCTCGATATGCTGATCCAAGTAACCTCATTATGGTGAAACTATGTAGGCATAACAGTTTGCATGGTTGCCAGAAAAGAACTAAGCTTAAAAAACGCGACATATGAACAGCATGTCTGGCCAAGACAATCTGATCTTCATACTGGTTGACATTGTATTAATATGTCAGATTGTCTTCTCAAGGTAGTGCTTTTTCTTATTTCCTGACATTTACGTAGTGTTTGGGGGTGGTCAAAATTGACCCAATCCACCAAGAGTTGAATTAATGCCAGCGGCCGCTAGGAGAAACCTCAGAAGGAAAGGAAGTTCTGAAATATAACAAGAGGATCTTCGCAAGTCTGGGGTGCTAAAAATCGCAAAAGGGAAGGAAAGCCATCCAAACGGCTTTAAAAGAAAGTTGCTGGGATCCACACTTATATATTCTAAGAAATTACACTAAAAGGGATATATTCATTTATAGAGACAAGAAAGGACTGAAGTTTTCAAAAAAAAATGAAGAAGATTGCTCAGCTAGAATTTTGAATATGAATTGTTTTTTTTATATTCATTGTCTCAATCTTTTTCTCTTTACATATTGTGTACATTTATAATGTGTATATTTGTCCTATACAAGAAGTCTCTAGAATAATTATATAGAAATGAAATATACTATATTCATCCATATCCTCTCAATGTTAGCATGGAGTGAGCTGGCTTTTTAGTCTTCAAATGAGGTGTAGTGCACAGCTGTGCTGGGTGTCTTGAGTAGTTTGCTTTTTTTCCTTGGGCTGTTGGGTGTCTTGTGAATATATTACTTTATGATATATATATATATATATATATATATAAACATATTTATGTATATGTGTGTTTGAAAAAGAGAAGAACTTCTCAGCAACACCGGCAGAAAAAGAAAAGTTATCAAAGTGGCTTAAATAGTTGTGGGGGCCACATAAGATATAAGGAAAAGAAGTGGTTGGTCTTGTGCTAAGTTCAGAAGTTTCAGCAGAAGCCTCCTCGTAAGTGGTAGAATTGAAAGATGGGAAGACTTGTAGCTAGCGTATTAGGACTTATTGCACTCAAATTAAGAGAAGAGTTTCATAATCCCAATTCCATTTTATTGACCAACCATATGGGTTGGTAGTGGTTGGGAAATTCTCATTAAATGCCTAGAGCCCCGAAAGACGTTAATCTTGGAAGGATTTTCAATGAAAGTCAATTGAGACCATTTAATAGCCAAACCCATGAGCTGAAGAAAGCTCTATAAAAAGCTCATCATCAGAAGAAGTGAAAAGGATGCCCGACTCAACACACAAAAATCTATCTTTTTATCCTGCACCTTTCAATTCTTAGTATAGGATTTTATCTTTCAAGCATTTTAGATTATCCAAGTTCTTCATTTTCTTAGTGTAAGTTTACTTTCTTGCAATTTAAATTCAAGTCTTTATCACTTTAATCTATTTTATTGCCTTTACATTTCTGTCATTTCGTTTCTTGCTTTTACATTCATTGCACTTATCACCAAAATTCTAAAAGAAAGTTGTTGGGATCCACACCTATATATTCTAAGAAATTACACTAGAAGGGATATATTCATTTATGGAGACAAGAAAGAAGGACTGAAGTTTTCAGAAAAAGGAAGAAGATTTCTCAACTAGAATTTTGAATATGAATGTTTTCTTATATTCATTGTCTCAATCTTTCTCTTTACATATTGTGTACATTTATAATATGTGTATATTTGTCCTATACATTAAGTCTCTAGAATAATTATATAGAAATTAAATATGCCACATTCATCCATATCCTCTCAAAGTTAGCATAGAGTGAGCTAACTCTTTAGTCTTCAAATGAGGTGTAGTGCACAGCCGCGTTGGGTGTCTTGAGTAGTTTGCTCTTTTTCCTTGGGCTGTTGGGTGTTTTGTGAATGTATTACTTTATCATATATATATAAATATATATATAAATAAACATATTTATGTATGTGTGTGTTTGAAAAAGAGAATTTCTCAGCAACAACGGCAGACAAAGAAAAGTTATCAAAGTGGCTTAAATAGTTGTGGGGGCCATATAAGATATAAGGAAAAGAAGTGGTTGGTCTTGTGCTTGAAGAGAGAGAGATCAAGGCCAAAGCCAAAAAAAAAAAAAAAAAAAAAAAAAAAAAAAAAAAAAAAAAAAAGATATATTATATATATATATATGAATCAGAGAGAGAGCTTATGCAGCTGGAGTTTGAATGGGCCTATATGGCCATATATGCCTTTGTTCAAATTAAACATACATTAGTTACACCGGAAAGGCTATAATGAGGGCTTAAAGTGAGGAGGTTATTTGAGGAGGTCAAATCACACCATCAACAAATGTAAAGAAATCATGGGACTTAAATATTTTAAATGTTTTGACGGTCGGATCGGTCTCCTCATTGTAGTAACTACAAGTATGCAACCATCAACCGTGCGGCCGACAAGATATGGCCATAGGAGAAAAACAAGAGTATGCGGCCCATCAAGGTTCCTCGCTGATGTTTAAGTCCCATGCTCAAATTTTCTTCCTCATTGCTATGCTCAAATTTGTTAATATATAATATGCGACAATTAAACAAAAGTTTCCTGGATGGATCTTGGAGCTTCCATGCCAATTTTTGCAGTTTCTCAACCAAAGCCAGAATCTCCAACATCTAAATATTTGGAGAACTCACCATGCTGCCGACATCCAAATATTTTTGCTGTTCACATACCACTCAACGTTTGTAGGAGCCTCAACCAAGTCAAAAGCTCCAAGTGCACAACATCTCACTAGATGTCAGATGAAGTCCAAAGCTCAACCTGCGAAGCTAAGTTCAGAAATTCCAGTAGAAGCCTCCTTGCAAGTGGTGGAATTCAAAGATAGCCAGCATACCAAGACTTATTGCATCTTAAATTAAGAGAAGAGTTTCACAGTCCCAATTCCATTTTATTGACCAACCATATGGATTGGTAGTGGTTGGGAAATTCTCATTAAATGCCTAGAACATCTTGGAAGGATTTTCAATGAAAGTCACTTGAGGCCATTTAATGGCCAAACCCATGAGTTGAAGAAAGCTCTATAAATAACTCATCAGAAGAAGTGAAAACGATGCCAGACTCAACACACAAAACCTATCTTTTTATCCTGCACCTTTCAATTCCTAGTCTGTGATTTTATCTTTCAAGCATTTTAGATTATCCAAGTTCTTCATTTTCTTAGTGTAAGCTTACTTTCTTGCAATTTAAATTTAGTTGTCTTTAAATTCAAGTTTAATTAAATTCTTTATCACTTTAATCTATTTTATCACCTTTACATTTCTATCATTTCGTTTCTTGCTTTTACATTCATTGCACTTATCACCAAAATTATGAAAATAGTTGTACAAAGCTCAATCATTCTTGACCCCGAGGAAGTGAAAGAACCTACATTAAGAGGAGGTTCCTTGCTTGACCAATCAATCGTTTGATTATAACTCAGAAGCGCAAACACACTTGCACAATTTTTCCATCCAAGCCATTTAGTGGCTTGGTGGTGGCACGCCTACACATCTCAAGAGATAAATGACCAAAAAATCCTTCCTTTGGCCTACTTGGCCAAAAAGAGAAAACATGTAGACTTCAATTTATGTCCTCTGTTGGAAGTATTCTTCTCCTTTAATCCTGATTTGAAACCAAATTAAATCAAAGATTTAAACTTACTCATACAGAAATTCAAAAATTGTTGCAAGAGGAGAAGTGCAAATTCTACAGCACCTTAGTAGTGTGGACCCCATAAATTTAAATTGTTGAAGTAATATTTGTAGTGGCCGCGTGAGTTTTCAATTAAAATTGATGACTGATAATAATCAATGTACAGTTGTGATGAATCAGTAGTGGAAAGTGTGGGCTCAACACTACTATGCTCCGTTTGGATGAAGGAATTGCAAATTACATAGAATTTTAAAATGATGGAATTTAGATTTCCGTCATTTCAATTTCTGGCAATTGAAGATTTCAGTGTTTGGATTTATATATGTCGAATTTTGTAAATTACAGAAATTGAAAATTTCAATGTTTGGATAGCTCATGTAAATTATAAATGAAAGAAATGAAATATTTCGAAAGAACAAAAAAACTAATAATCGACATAGAAGGTATTCCTTGAAGTATGAAATAACATATTGTTTGATGAACTAAATAACTCAACTTAAACAAAGAAAGCATATTAGCAAACCATATCACTCCCCACGTGCAATGAACATCAGTAACATACTTTTTTTTCTTTTTCTCAATTGGGAGTGCCTATGGAATTAGAACTAGAAGCAATCAGCAATCAAGACCCTAATACTTCTTTTTCACTTGGCAAAAGATCAATGACTAGAGAAACTGAAAGGGTTTTGATTAAAAAGTTGCAAACAAAAGTATAGGAATAAATGATGAAATCAATGAATCACTATCATAAGACTTAATTCAAGTCCCAAAGAATGAAGGAGCACCTTGGCCAAGCTGCAACTTACGGGCAAGTTGGTGTAGCTTACAATCAACATCTAATGGCTCACACAAAGCGATAAAGCTAATAAACAACTATAGAGCAAGGCGATAACACAAAGTGATAAAGCTAGCCAACAACTACAGAGCTGTACCATAAACATCAATCACACACCAATATCCATGGGCATAGAGTATTTTGTTAAAACTTCCCAAAAACCGAGCCATAGTGCCGCAAAGATCACAAAACCCAACACATTCATAAATTTAGTCAGAAACACCCAATTTTGATAGCCATTCATAAACCATGGTAACCCTAAAATAAAAAAATATAAATTGAAGGAGAGAAAGGCTTGAAGACTAACCTTCAAACTTGATCCAAAGAGCCACGTAACCCAAAGAACTCCTTCTCCTTAGTTCTCTGGCTATACTCGGTTTCAGGTTTTTTGGTGGTGGTGGTGGTGTTTGTTTTTTTTTTTTTTTTTTTTTTTTTTTTTTTTTTTTTTTTTTTGTGGGTTTTTTTTATGTAAGTTTTGGCAAACGGCACATTGGAATAAAAAAAAAAAAACACACTACGGAAATTGTGAAATGAAACGCCAATTTTGGTGGAAATTAAACTCGGGAATTTGATGCCTCAATTTTCCCATGATTTTTTCCACGCATCATTTAGTAAGTTCGGCGTTTAAGTTGCCAAACAAGGGAATTGTCAATTTCTCTTCTCCAATTTCCGACTTTTACCTAAATTCCGAGTTATTTTCCCTCATCCAAACGGAGGGCTAAGGTCTTCCTTTGTTTCTCTTTCTGAAATTACTGTGAAGCAGAGGTTTCGAGCCTGACCCTTGATAATTCCACGTTTCCTGAATAGACGCGCTTTAGTGGCATCGAAATTTCCGTTGACTGGCACTTCTATCAAACAACAGAAAAGTCTTATAAACATAAAGTCTTATAAATTTATCCTTCTGTAGGTTTTCTTTTATTGGGCTTGGGCCTTGTTAAGTAGCCTAAAATTGTATTATTAAATCTATCATACCGTCTAAGTCTTCTATGTCCCATTCATTGAATATTTCTAAGTTTTCTATGCCCCAAAAAACACGACTCATTCCTTAATCACGACGACCTGTGAATTTCCTAGTTGTAATCTTGTGCTTCCCTTTTTCTATTTTTAAACTTGTATTGGTTTGTCACTTACCCTGAGCCTTCCCGGCAAATATGCATGCCCTTCTGCTTCAATCGTTGTTTCCCTTGCTTTTGATCACTTCCTTTCTTTCGATCAACGTTGAGTTAAGTCTAGGCCAGGACAATGAACAATTTACAAACTGCAGCCAAGATATTAATTGCGGTGGCATCAGCCTCTCATACCCGTTTTGGGGAGTAAACCGAGCTAATTACTGTGGTCGGCCAGGGTTCGAGGTCGAATGCCTAGAGAATGTCCCCAGGATCAACATATCGAGTATCAACTACAGAATTCTTAAAACGAACTCTAGTGCTCCCTCTGTTACAGTTGCTAGGCAGGACTATTGGGGAACTCTCTGTCCTCCGACTTATGTCAACACCAGCATCAACTTCTCTCAGTTTAATTATCCGTCTGGGCTTACAAACATGACCTTTTACTACGCGTGCAATACAACTATAACTATCCCGGGGCTGGGGGATAACTATACTTCCCAAGTTTGCAGTACGAACAACAGTGACATTACTGTTTGGTCTTTCACCCAGAGTCCCCCAGCTGATCCAGTTGCTGCCCGCGTCTGTACAACTGGGGTCATTGTTCCGGTTTTTACGACAGCTGCTCTGGCTCTAGAGGCCAATCAAACAACTATCCAGGAAGCCGTAGATGAGGGCTTTGAATTGGGATTGGAGATTCATAATGTTGAATGCAACAGTTGTGTGGAATCAGGAGGGAAGTGTGGGGTTAACGCTACTGGTGGATTCAGTTGCTTTTGCCTGGATCAGGCCTATGCAGCCGTATGTAATGCAACTGCACCCGGAGCACAAGGTATGTCTGTCCCTTGTCATTCTCTTATAAATTACAGAATTGAATTGCAGGATTGGTGGCACCAACAGTTTTTTATTACATCCTAGACAGCTACCTAGGTGTGTGTCATTAGGCTCGTCTGTTAAAAACCTCGGTCGGAAATCGGGAATTGTGTGCAGAAACAAAAAACAGAAACTACTGAACTTGACGTATACAAGAAAAGAGATCATGTTGCTACGAATTTCAGAAATTGAACATTTTGGATAGAAAATTTTGTTAAACTTTTAAACCCTTAAGAGTGTTCATGTTTTGATCATTTTGATCCTTTGGCACATGCATCGAATTGGAAATCTTGATGGTGCCAGTGAACACTTTTTGTGGCTCTCACTTGACTTCAAAATCCGATTCCTATTGAAGAGGGCTTGAGGTACAGTTGCTGGCAGGACTCTTGGGAAATTGCCTCCAACTTCAGTTAACACCATCAACTGATCTCTGCTAAATTATACTTGTGGCCTTTTTTTAATGGCCTTGATGAAGAGTAAAAGGTCTGTGAAGCAGAGGTTTGGGTGCATAATTGAAATTTCTTGATAATTCCATGTTTACAAAAAGAAAAAAAAAAAAAAAAAAAAAAAAAAAAATACTACAAAGACTTTTAAAGTAAGGGTTGTATCTAATCCGTACTTGTAAAGACTTTTTTAAGTTGGTGACTTGACATATTCTTAAACAGTATCATAGACTTTTGTTATAAATAATTAGCCTTATAAAAGTATACAAAACTCATTCATTTAATAAGTTTTTTTAAAAATTATTAATTTCATTTATGCATGCTCCTTGTTACTCTCTTTAAAAATATATATATATATTTAAAAAAAATTATTGGGAAGATGACTTTGAATTTTTGTTAAGTAATTTAATTCCAGAATTGGTAGCTCTACATTTTTCTATTATGCATCCTACCTACGGAGGTCTTTGTTCAAGTTGATAATTCCATGTTTTCTAGCCAAAGAAAAACTTCGTTTTTTGTGGTTACCAAAATTTTCATTGACTAAGTCTTATTCTCGAAGTATTGAACATAAAAAAAACTAACCAGTAAGTCGACTTTGACTCCCTCAACTGCAGCACATAATTTCAATACTCAAATATTTCAAATATTGGTTATCCTTTCGGAGGATCAAACTGGCCAGAGTACTGTGGCTACCCTAAGTTCGAGGGACTAAATTTTGGCTATAGTAAGATCAATGTTAGAAACTATGTACCCTTGGGTACCAGATCTCCCTCCCAAATATGTCAGCTTACACTCGTCCCTCATAAAAATGTAAGGGAGATATACTTCTTTTATATTGAATTTGAAGTCACTCCACAACTGTCATTTTGAAAGGAAGTGCACGACATTTTTGGAGTGCCAATAACAGTCTTCTTTTTAAATAATTATATAGGGTTCTTTCTTTTTCTTTAATTTTTTAAATGAAAATAGGGGAAGGGGAGGCTATCCCATCTCAGGGCCAGGGCATACCAAGGCCTCTTTGTGGACTTAAAGAGGTGGTCTTAGACCCTTTTTTCGTTTTTATAGATTACCCACCAAGAGGCATTGTCGGTAGGAGAATTCGAACCTAGGCCTTGATAGCAAAGATAAGGATCTTTACCAACTCAAAAAAAACTAACCAGTGACAAAAAATTGACTCGATTGAGTAAAATTAGCGACATAATGACCAAATTTAAGGCAAATAAGGTAGTTTTTGTTTATGTAATCTACCAAATATCTTTGTTGCAATTGAGGTAGTCTTTTTTTAACAATTGATTATTCATTCATCGATTAACATTTCTCTATCTTGTGGCTGTTTCAGGAAAGCAGAAGGAAATTGCAATAGGTAATACTTCACTTCTTTAAAACAGTATTTGACTGCTTCGTTACTTGTTTTCGTTGTAGTTCTTGATTGACTGTTAAAATGGTAGCCCTCCAAAGTGGTTTTAGAACTTGAATGACTGTTTAAAATGACTAGGAGCTTAACTAATAATTACATAAAATAAAAATCCAACAAATCAAGTAATTATAATGAAAACAAGTATTTTGTTGCAGGTTTGGCTGTTGGTGGATTTTCCGTGATGGTAATCATTCTTTGTATTATATGCATATCAATCAAGAAAGATAAGAGGGATGAGTTTGATGTTGAGGCATTTATAAAGAACTACGGATCGCTTACTCCAAAGCGGTATACCTATGCAAATGTCAAGAAAATGACAGACTCTTTTAGAGACAAAATAGGTAAAGGTGGATATGGAACTGTGTACAAAGGCAGGCTACCTGATGGGCTTCTGGTGGCGGTTAAAGTCCTAAGCGAGGCCAAGGGTAATGGAGAAGACTTTGTTAACGAAGTTGCTAGCATTGGTAGAACCTCCCATGTCAACATAGTCACTCTCTCTGGATTCTGTTACGAGCGGGGCAAAAGGGCTTTGATTTATGAGTTCATGCCTAATGGATCTCTGGATAATTTCATACATAAGCACGGATCTGAAATGGAAAATTTTCGATTAGAATGGAAAACACTATCTGAAATTGCAGTTGGTATTGCGCGAGGACTAGAATACTTACACCGTGGATGTAACACAAGAATTTTGCATTTTGACATAAAGCCACAGAACATTCTTCTCGACAAAGATTTTCGCCCAAAAATCTCTGATTTTGGCCTTGCCAAATTATGCAAAACGAAGGACAGTATTGTATCGATGATGGGGACAAGAGGAACTGCAGGATACATTGCACCAGAAGTGTTTAGCAGGAACTTTGGTGGAGTATCTCACAAATCTGATGTTTACAGCTACGGTATGTTGGTTCTTGAAATGGTTGGAGCAAAAAAGAATTTGGATTCGGGAGTGTCTCATACGAGTGAAATGTTTCCACATTATGTTTATAAAGATCTAGAGCTAGAAAATGATGAAAATGCATTTGGGGCAATCACAGAGGAGGAAAAAGAAATAGCAAGAAAGATGGTATTAATAAGTCTGTGGTGCATTCAGACCATTCCTTCTGATCGGCCATCAATGAGCAAAGTTGTAGAGATGTTGGAAGGACCCCTTCATTCCTTGCGAATTGCACCCAAACCTTTCTTGTTTTCTCCTACAATAGCTGCAGAAGACTCTATGACTACAACCAGTGGCGGATCCACCATGGGGTCAATGGTGTCAGAAGGCCCCATGGCAGCCCTAGAAATGGCTTCGAGGTCCCATGTTGGCCTTGGCAGCCATGGGAGACGACCCCAAGGAGAAGAAGACATGCAAGCTGTGAGGGAGAAGATAGAGGGAGGAAGAAGAGAGAGAGAGAGGGAGGAAGAAGAAGAAGAAGACAATGATTGAGAGGGAGAAGAAAGAGAGAAGAAGAAGAGAGGGAGGAAGAAGAAGAAGACTGTTCATGATTTCACCTCTTCTTTGTCCCCTAGATCACTCCGACTTTAGTCTAAAAAAAGATGTAGTCCTTTGTACATCAATCTCTGACAGATTATCAATACCAATCTTTACCAATTATCAATTCCCAAGGGTATTTTAATGTTTATAGCAACTATCTCATTTATAAATGTCTAATAGAGGGATACGAAACAGAGAGTAGTCTAATGAAGTTAGATTCATCGGACCGTTCTCTTCTAATCCTTGTATTCTAAATGGTTCTTAGTCAGGCACGGACCTAGGCCCGTCTAAGTAGGGCTATAACCCGACCAAAAATATGGAAAAATAGTCTACATCTCAACTGCACGTCAACTAAGTACGCTTTTCCATTAGGCCATCACATGTTTTAGCCCACATCCATCCTTGCAACTATGGAATCTGATATATAAAATCATAAACTCTTCTCATTCCAATTTTCCATCAAAAAATTTCGTTCAAAACATACATCTCATTTTGAGAATAGGATTTCATTTATAAGCCAAAAAAGCATACAAAATTGTCACGAATATAGCGGCCTCATTAAAACCTTTCTAGGAAAATCACATGGGACAAACCCTAGGGTAGGAAAAAGTACCACAGAGTACCACACATGCCATGGACTAACAAAAGAGTTTGACACAGGCCCCTTTGGACCGCTACAAAGAACCCAAAGAAAACATACGAAAAAACAAAGCACAACTCCAAGCCCCGCAAAGAACAACCCACTACAACATAAGACTGTAAAAGAAAAACTCACAGTTCTATGTAAAGAACAACGTATGGTGATTGTCAAAACATAGCAAGCAAAATTACCAATACCAACTCCATGACTCTTAATCTAGAACCCTACCCAACAAGGCAGTGGTGATCAAGATTGGCCTCTTAGCGTGACGAACTTCTAACAAAAGAGCATTATAATAGGAACGTTTACTGGATGCCAAGCCCACAAAAGTTTCAGCGAACACATCAGGGAGAATTGGGAGACCCGAGGTTGACCTCCGTCACCTTTTTAGCAAACTCGGCCAAATATGGCTCAACAACAGTAAATGCTCTATCACCACCTGGATCCCAGATCCCCACCACAAATGAACCCTGAGAGATGGGAATAGAGATTGCAACCAACAACCCTATCCTCCAAAAATCGCGCCCAACATCGAGGATCCTAGAACGCACCAGATCCATTGGATCCAAGAACTCATAGATGTTAATCTGAACTATACTTTTATAACTCAACACTAACCTTGGTCAGACACCTTGGCAGTAGAGGATCTTCTTCTCTATGCAACACTGTAATGTTATTTCTCTAGATGGGATGAGAGCTGTGTTTAGCGTGTATTGTTGCTAGAGAAGGGACCTCTCTCTCTCTCTCTCTCTCTCTCTCTCTCTCTCTCTCTCTCTCTATATATATATATATATATATATATGCATCACTTGAAAGCCTTGCCCATCAAGGAGCTGTCGAGTGTTCTAGTTGCATTAGAATTTCGTTGTTTCAATCCATATAGAATTAGGTTTTCCATTATTTCTTGTACTTCAATTAGGATAGCTTTTATACAAGGATAATCTGATAAGTCTGAGTATATTTTGAACATGCAAACCTCTCGAATTCTTACTTGATTAGAAGACCACAATTTGTGGTTAAGACAATGAATTGTGTTACAATAGAAGCCAACCATCAATAAACTCCCAGCCGGCCAAACCAACATCTCACAAAAAATCCCTATCTCGGCCCTCACCACCAAGTCACCACGAATGCGGCAGACCCACAAAGCCACACAACCACGCAAGATCCGAGAACTACACACCAACGCAAAAACCAGACTAGACCACTAGCGAAGCACAAACTCTAAGAACACCACGACAGAACCACCACGCCAAACAGACCCCGCCAAAAACTAGTGAACCAACGACCACAACAGAACCACCACCAATGAATTAGAAATGGTGAACGTTAAAGAAGTAAATGGGGTCATATTTCAAGCAAACACAAGTGTTTACTACAATAAGGACTAATATTACAATGTTGGGGAACTAAGGTACCATAACTTTGTAAACTATATCCTAAATCTAATAAATTACAAGATTTATGTGCCAATTTACATGCATGTTTATGCATATGGTTTACCATATCATGGTCAGCCCTAATCCATATACTATTGTAATTCCGTATTTATGCGTGTAAGATAGTATTGTAAATCAAAAGACAATCATTTCCAATCGATATCTATAAATTGCCAAAGCGATACCTATCAATTGCTACATCAATACCCAACAATTGGGAGACCCCTCGATTTGGCCTCCGTCACCTTTTCAGCAAACTCGGCAAAATAAGGCTCAACAACAGTAAATGCTCTTTCACCACCAGGATCCCAGATCCCCACCAGGAGAGGTGGAAATAGAGATTGCAACCAACAACCCTATCCTCCAAAAATCGCGCCCAATACCGAGGATCCTAGAACGCACCAGATCCATTGGATCCAAGAACTCATAGAAGCCAACCACCAATAAACTCCCAACCGACAAACCCAACACCTCACAAAAATCCCTATCATGACCCTCACCAACAAATCACCACGAATGCGGCAGACCCACAAAGCCACACAACCACGCAAGATCCGAGAACTACCCACCAACGGAAAGACTAGACTAGACCACTAGTGAAGCACGAACTCTAAAAACACCACGACAAACAGACCCCGCCAAAAACTAGCGAACCAACGAAATAAGAACTCTAGGACACCATGACAGAACCACCACCAATAAATTGGAAATGGTGAACGTTAAAGATGTAAATGGTGTCATATTTCAAGCAAACACAAGTGTTTACTACAATAAGGACTAATATTACAATGTTGGGGAACTAAGCTACCATAACTTTGTAAACTATATCCTAAATATAATAAATTACAAGATTTATGTGCCAATTTACATGTTTATGCATATGGTTTACCATATCATGGTCAACCCTGATCCATATACTATTGTAATTCCGTATTTATGCTTGTAAGATAGTATTGTAAATCAATAGACAATGATTTCCAAATCGATATCTCTAAATTGCCAAAGCGATACCTATCAATTGCCACATCGATACCCAACAATTGCCAAATGGATATACATTAATTGAAAAATTGATGTACAATAGTCTACTCCAACAAACCCTGCTGCAAAATGTGACCTGCAATTTTAAACTCAGAAACCCTTGCTATTACTACAAAAACATTATGAAAAACACACAAACGTAGATGATGTGGGAACAATTTTTTCTATAAATAAAGTTAATTAAATGCTAACATATAAATTCATAAAACTATTTCAATAAATGATGTGGAACCGATTTATATTGATCATGCATCACAAAACTATTTTAATGATTTTTTTTTTACAATAATAGAAGTGCAATACAACGACTTTTTGAAGAGCATGGAAAAAGAGAGCCATGTTAACGTTAAAATCCACAGCACCTTAACATGCTATAAAAAAAAAAAAAAAAAACAAACTCAAGCATGCGTGCATACCTCATTTAAAAAAAGATGGTGGTATCGGTACACCTGTGTAACCGTAGACATTGTCATGGGGACCCTCCAAATATCATACAAAATGTCTTAGTTTGAAGATCGTGTGTAAATTGTTTGTTTCAATAAATCACTGCCTTTTTTTTTAATTAAAAAAAAATAACATGTGGTTTTAAATCAATTGAAAATTTCATTTACCAATTTATTTATTTATGATTAGCATAATATAATAAGTTAATTATAATTGTAAAATAGCCAATATCCCCAAATTCATTGATCTTTGATCTGAGCATGCAAGTGCTTTGTTCATGTCGTCAGATGAATATCTCAGCTAGAATTGCTGATTTTGGGTCTTTTCAGAGGTAGTTAATTAATCGGATCCTTTTATTATGTTCTTCTCTGTTTTGTTTTCTTCTTATATTTCTTCCCTTAGAAGTTCCCAAGAACCTCCTCAATGAATACCAACTTGTTCTTTCCGGCGGAACTTACAATTGAATTTACAGTCACGTCTTACTCATTAGGCATGGAAGTTAACAGCAACACGCCCTTTAGGGTACCCTACAATTTTTTTTCCAATGATTCAAACCATATATTTTTTAGGTCTTCATTCATAGATCATCCTTACAAAAAATTAGACAAATCGAAAATCGTTTCGACATCCAATTGTGTCTTACAAAATCAATGAACACGGTGCTTCAAGAAAGTACTAAAATTTCAATAAATCAATTGAGTGGTCAAATGATATCGGATTCAAGTGATTTTTTGTAGAGATGATATTTGAATGAGTATCTACAAAATAGACGGTTTGGATTAGTGAAATACAATCCGGAGTGAGCCATACAAGAGGTATCCTTCAAATAAGCTTATTTGAGGGATCCCTCAATGGAAGCTCTCTGTATATATATATATGAATCAGAGAGAGAGCTCATGCCGCTGGAGTTTGAATGGGCCTATATGGCCATATGCCTTTGTTCAAATTAAACATACATTAGTTACACAAAGAAAGTAGTAACTAGAAGTATGCAACCATCAACCATGCGGCCGACAAGATATGGCCATATATAGGAGAAAAACAAAAGTATGCGGCCATTACCCATCAAGGTTCCTCGCTGATGTTTAAGTCCCATGCTCAAATTTTCTTCCTCATTGCAATGGCTTTGCTCAAATTTATTAATATATATATTAATAAATAAATGTGACAATGAAACAAGAGTTTCCTCGATGGATCTTGGAGCTTCCATGCCAATTTTTGCAGTTTCTCAACCAAAGCCAGAATCTCCAACATCCAAATATTTAGAGTTCACATACCACTCAACGTTGGTAGGAGTCTCAACCAAGTTAGAAGCTCCAAGTGCATAACATCTCACTATATGTCAGATCAAATCCAAAGCTCAGCCTACGAAGCTAAGTTTAGAAGTTCTAGCAAAAGCCTCCTTGCAAGTGGTGGAATTCAAAGATATCCAGCATACCAACACTTATTGCATCTCAAATCAAGAGAAGAGTTTCACAATCCCAATTCCATTTATTGACCAACCATATGGATTGGTAGTAGTTGGGAATTAAATGCCTAGAGCCCCGGAAGACAATAATCTTGGAAGGATTTTCAATGAAAGTCAATTGAGGCCATTTAATGGCCAAACCCATGAGCTGAAGAAAGCTCTATAAATAACTCATTAGAAGAAGTGAAAAGGACGCCTAACTCAACACACAAAACCTATCTTTTTATCCTGTACCTTTCAATTCATAATCTAGGATTTTATCTTTCAAGCATTTTAGATTATCCAAGTTCTTCATTTTCTTAGTGTAAGCTTACTTTCTTGCAATTCAAATTCAGTTGTCTTTAAATTCAAGTTTAATTGAAGTCTTTATCACTTTAATTTATTTTATCGCCTTTACATTTCTGTCATTTCGTTTCTTGCTTTTACATTCATTGCACTTATCACCAAAATTCTAAAAATAGTCATACAAAGCTCAATCATTCTTGACCCGGAGGAAGTGAAAGAACATAGGTTAAGAGGAGGTTCCTTGCTTGGCCAATCAATCGTTTGATTAGAAGTCATAACTGCAAACACACTCGCACAGTTTTTCCATCCAAGCCATCAAATGGCTTGGTGGTGGCACAACTATGCATCTCAAGAGATAAAAGACCGAAAAATCCTTCCTTTGGCCTACTTGGTCAAAAAGAGGGAAACATGTAGAGTTCAATTTATATCCTCTATTGGAAGTATTCGTCTCCTTTAATCCTGATTTGAAACTAAATTAAATCAAAGATTTAAAGTTACTCATACAGAAATTCAAAAATTGTTGCAAAAGGAGAAGTGCAAATTCTATAGCACCTTAGTAGTGTGGATCCCATAAATTTAAATTGTTGAAGTAATATTTGTAGTGGACCGCGTGAGTTTTCAATTAAAATTGATGACTGATAATAATCAATGTACAGTTGTGATGAATCAGTAGTGGAAAGTGTGGGCTCAACACTACTAAGGTCTTCCTTTGTTTCTCTTTCTGAAATTACTGTGGAAAGTGTGGACCCTTGATAATTCCACGTTTCCTGAATAGACGCGCTTTAGTGGCATCGAAATTTCCATTGACTGGCACTTCTATCAAACAGAAAAGTCTTATAAACATAAAGAAAACTCACCTATAATAAGTCTTATAAATTTATCC